GCAGACAGGCATATGCTGGGGCGCCGCCGCCGCGGCCGCCGGAGGAGGGAGCAGCTCGGCCGGCTCCGCCAGGTGGGCGAGGCGCGGGCGGGCGGGCGCGGGCGGGCGAGGGGGCCGGGGGCGCTCCGGGGCGGGCGGGCCGCGGAGGGAGCGCGTCTGGAGGGCGCGGGGGTCTCCCTGAGGCGGCTTCGTGGTGCCGCGGCGAGGGCAGGGTCCGAGCCCCGTCCGTGCGCGTGTTCATGCAGACAGATGTCCTGAGAACGGGGAAGCGCCGTGTACACGCGAACGCGCCCCTGAGAGGGAGAAGACGGCGGAGTTCCTCCCCGGAACCAAATCCATAATACACGTCTGCACGCGCGTGGACGCGTAAATTCTCCTCCTCGTGAAATACCTAGGTTGTGCAGACAGGCATATGCTGATAAAAGTAAGTTCTCCTCTGATTAAGCATGTAACGCACGCGCGCGGGCCCACTTTATATGGAGAGAGGAAATAGCTGTGATGACATGATTCGCACATGCACACCCACGTATATACAAAATCCCCCCGCTTGACTGTTTCGTATGTGCATCCAAGTATATCTTGCAAATAGGCAAGATCCCCTCCCAGTCAAGTGTATCATAGAGGCACAAATGCATGCAAGTGTCTATAGAAGGAAATTAGCTAAAATAAAACATAAATTCTGATTTATTGTAGATACATATAGGCGCAGGTGCAGCTATGTAAAATTCTACTACATCAGGTATCTGATATATGCACACATGTATTGAGAATCAGTAAAATTCCCTTCCAGTCCAATTTGTATGTGTGTATGTATGTACACACACATTCACAAACGCCCCTGCTCACACGCTCAGAGAGAGACTATGCAGGATTTCCCTTCCATATTAGAGTGCCATCTGGTGTAGGTCCTTGTAATCCCCCCACCCCGAACTTGTGGGGTTATGGGCATCTGGAGTAGGGTGGAAGGTGCACAGAGGCTCTGGAACTCCCAGTCCCTCCAAAACACTTGGATAAATAAATGTTTGACAGAAGCTCATGAGGAAGGGAGCTGAAGGCACCGCCACTCTGTGCAACACCAACTCTGGGGTTGGTCTTGCAGCCTCAGAGTCCCAGCCCCATTCTCTGCGTGTTACTTTGAGGTCAGGCCTGGGACTTCAAATTATCTCATGGCTGTTTATCAGTTAGAGACCCTCTTGATTATATATGCACACACACACACACACAGAGCATTTTCTCATTTATATATAAAATGGAGAGAACAAGTCAGAATTCTTCACCCACACACAGTTTGTATTTTTAGACAACAGATTAGAATTCCCTACCCCACACCAGCGTTATATCTTTGAGAATAAGACAAGTTTATGTTTAGAGTGCATTGTCTTATTTTATAAAACTTGCACATTTTTAAGGTGAGGAGCTGAAGCACACCTTGTTTTTATTTTTAGAGTGGGGTGTCAGTGTGGACCAGAGTTGTGCTGTTTTTCCTTTTTCTATTTTAAATTGATTTTTAGGAACTGAGTGATGTAGATTATGCCATATACCCATGTTGCCTTATGTTAGGTTGTATCCTTAGCTATGAGCAGTCTCAACTGGTGTTTTAAAAGATTAGGGGATAGCCTTATGCATCTTTAAATTGAAGAGAGGTCCTACAACTATCTGTAGGACTTTTATCTCTCTAAATGTGCATAGGATTATGTCTTACCTAGCCAAAGACTATGCTGTTGAATTTAGATCCTGGTTGTGATGCAGCAGGAGGGAATGTTCTAACCAATTATCTCTTCCTTATTTAAAATCATCCAGTGGAACTGTTTGCTTCTGCAGCAAAGCATAGCAGGGTATCATATGACTGCAAGTTAATTTTGCCTTATGAGGCAAATGAGTTACCAAGTTAAAGAGTTAAAATTACCCAGCTTCAGTGGGTAATTTTAATTTCTCTTGTCCTTTCTTGTTGGCCCTGAGTGGGAAATTCAGCTCAGACTTCCACAGTTCAAGTCCTGCATTTTTTTCTCTTTTTAATTTTAGGGAAAGGTTGAAGCTATGGGTAATAGAGGAATGGTCTCCCTCCCCCCTCCCCATTTTCTCTTTTTGATTGTATTAACTTTAGGGCAAGGATTTCTCAGTCTAATTATCTCTCTGTAAGGTCCAGGTACTCCAATGGTGCTGAATAAGCAATAAATAATGTTTTAGTTTTATAGGCAGGGCTGAGAGTAGCAGTTCTTTTTATTAGGAAGCAGCTGTGAGATAGGATAAGAGGAGGTTTAAAGTAAGAACGGGAGGATTGCAGTACTAGGTTGAGGTTAACTTGTCAAAAAAGAGGTGCTAGGTTCCAGGCCTGCCTGAAAAATCTGCCATCTAAGGAGGATTGTATCTCAGCTGAAGTCAGGTGATTAGGTGACCATTCGGCTTTTTGGCAAGTCATCTCGTGTTGCAGCTCACTCATGCGCAAGTCATCCCTTGATGATGCAGTTCATGCCCGCTGAAGGTGAGAACTGGCTTTTGCTGGCGAAGCAAAAATCCTCTGCGTATGCTCAGAGCCTAACCCTTGTTTACCTGGTGCTTCCTTTGTTGTAGAGGTGAACCAGGCATTCAAAACCAGTTCTGAGTTGCTGATTCCCTAATTAGATAGTTAAAATTATATCTTCATTTTTTTATATCATAGTTCCCCCTTCTAGTGCATGTTTACAATGGAAATGAGGTTTCTAGTGAATACTTCTCAGTTCTCTTGGAGGAAAGACTTGGACTCTTGTGAATGATGCCATTGCGTGCGTGAACACAGTCTTGCTAGTTAAAGCGCACTTCCATTCAATCCACAGGACTTGCACTATGAAATTAAAATCCTGAGAATTACATCTCGTTTTCTCCTTATTCATAAGTGGAAACTATAGTCGAGTAACACTGGAATCCCACATCTTTCGTTTTGTTTCTTTATTTTGGTATCTATGTAGCTTCTCAACCAGAATTGACTCTCCCGATGTTTTGGACCCATCAGCCTCAGTCAGAATATTATCAGAGAGCATAGATACCTCCAGGTATCCATGCCACTGGGGATAGCGAGGGATCATGGGAGTGGTAGGCCAAACCATCTGGAGGGCCACAAGTTGACATGGGTTTTGTGCTTTATCTTACATCCTAGAATTCAGTGGCCACAGAAATAAATAAAAGTGAAGTTTTGATATTTGTTTCACCACCAATCACAGACATTCTTTTTGAAATCGATCTGTCTCTGCTATAGACAAAAAGTAGTCACCTTTACTCCTTCAGCTATGGGAGTAACTATGGTTTTTCACAGACACACATCATGCAAAACCATATTAGGTGCTTATAACTCCATTGATTGTAATGGATTTAAGCCAGTTAGGTCTGTATTAAATAGTACCAATAAAATTGGTGTATCACTGGGAAGAGCTAGACTATTTTTTCATGTGCTGTGATGCTAATGAAAAAGCATTGACTTCGGGGAACTAAGGAATCTCCGATAGCATCCTTTTGTGTAGTTTTATTGGGTTATGACCTCTTTGGACATCTGTAAGTGCTCTTATATGCATGGGTCCACAAATTCTGAATTGGCTTTGTAGTCACTCAGTGTTACTGGTATCCAAGGAGGCTCTGCTTTCCCATTTCTGGCTCTGGGGAAGGTGACCTTGGACGCTCCAGATGTTTCAGACCACAACTTCCAGAAAGCTTAGCCTTTGGACATTGCTGGCTTGGTCTTCTGGGAGTTGTACTCCAATATATAACAAGGACACCAATTTACAGAGACAAATAAGCATTCCTCTTTCATATCTGCCACTTGGTGATAAGGAGCAGCAAATTGGGTTGCCTATTGTTAACCTTCCTTTTGACCTAGATTGACAAAGGACCTGAAGAAATGCACTTTGACAGAGCCACTCTGTTTTTCTCTGTTGCTGTTGGCTCTTCAAGAAAAATGGTTACCCTTAAAATGGCCAGCATTAAATTTAGGGGAGAAGAAAGACATTTGTGGATTTCTCCTTCTTGATTTAGCTATCCCAACAGCAATTGGGACATGCCTGAATCTACCCTCCATACACCTCCCCAAACAGATAACCCTTCTTGATAATAAAATGCTGGTTTTAAATATCTCTCCACATAGTTGTTAATTTCTTTTTTAAAAGAAAGGAAAATAAAGTATCTTAGGGCTAAAAATGGCCTTCTCCCTAATGCATCCTATTCAGAAGGTCTGCTAACCCTTTGTGGGAGTACAGGTATACAGGCTGTTTCTATAGACTCATCTATTCCAGGTAAATCAGATTAAATTGTTTAATGCCTGTGAAGATAGTTTGGAACCTTGTGCCTCAGATTAAGGAGTTGTAATGTCGTCCCATGAAATTAAAAGGCAGTCTCTAGATTGTCTCTAGATTGTCTCTTTGTCACATTCTAGTATGTCCCAAGAAATGTAACCCTGCGCAAACAGGCAGTCCTGGCTCACTGGTGAGTTATAGCCATTCGTATAAATGGCGGCTACGTGACACGCAGAGCGCACAGGTGTGCGGGAACCTGTTCCTTTGCCCCGTGTACCGTTGCCATGGGCCCTGGCAATAGACATTCCCAATTCTGGTGAGGACCGCCATGGGCAATGTTTCATGTCGCTGGGATCAGCAAGCCACTCTTACGCAGAGGATGCAGCTGCTCTTCCCTGCAGTGCTGTTTCCAGGTTTTGGAGGGGCCTCATGGGACTCCCTCCCTCAGGGACGCTGCTTTCTCACTGTCATTGTCACCTGTGCTGTCCTCGCCCCTCCTGCTCTTTCCCAACTTTGCTCCCACTCGCTCGCTTGGCAGCCAAGGCTGTGGCATCAGCTCCTCCTCCTCCTCCTCCTCACTGCCTCCATTTGAGCTAGACATGAGAGGCAGGTGAGCAAGCAGGTTCCAGTGGGAGGGGCAGCTCCAAGGGGCTCCTGGCAGTGGGCTGCTGCCAGGTTGTGGCCCCCCAGAAGTGGGTGGTCGGCCCCAGTCCTGTGCGTGGTTGAGGCATCTTCCAGCCCAGCTAGCTTCAAAGCCGCGTACAGTAGTTGTTGTGGCTTAGCAAAAATTCCTCTGGGAGTTCAGCCTGCCCTGGGGCACACAAAGGCAGGGAGGTGAGTTAATGAAAGGTTTTGTAGGCAGCTGAGCTTGAGAGAGTGTGGGGTTTATATCTGTATGAATTAGTATTTCTCCTTCTACCAGAGCTGTTGATGGTTTTAAAATTCCCTAGTCTGTCTAAAATCAGGAATAATATGATAATTAATAGTGATAGTTTAGCTGTGCATCCATTTTTAGTGAGCAAGGTCAGTTTTGGATAATGCTATATTTTAATATCTAATAAAATGTTGATTTTGTGTTACCTTTTTTTCCCTTTTAACTTTGGTTCTAATTAGCAGACATCTTCTTCGATGCTTATAAATAAGTCACAGCTTCTCTAGAAAGCCATGCATGTTTAATGATTAAGCCTTTATTTGCTTTCTGCAAGAGATGGTAGCTGGCATTGCTGCTCTGGGTTGCATTGTGCTCTGGATCAGGTTGTGTGTATAGGTTTCTTCTCCCCCCCCCCCCCCGCCAGGTAGGATCCCTATGCCAGAAGATGATGGGGGGAGCTCACGTGCAGAGTGACGATGCAAATGTGATTTCAGCAGGGGCCTGTTAATGTGAGGTGTAGGTTTGAATTCACATCAGTCTCTGCCAGGTTTTCTGGGGACACATTCAAGCTTTCCTCAAATGTTCACGCGCTTTTGTTCTTCGAATACTTGGCCTCTGCTTTCAAGTATGGGAGAGGCTGTGACCCGGGGCATATGCTGTCGTTTGTCATTCCCTTCCTTGCATGCCACCATATTACCACATTATGTCGATGGAGAGGAGTTGATCCCCGAAGGGTCATAGTGTGGTGGTTTTAGATTTGGCAGCATTTCAGAAGTACTCTCGGATTGCCTTGTGGCCTGTCTTGGAGATAGCAGAGCAAGGAGCATGTTACACTCATTCATTGTAAAGATTATAAATGACAGCAAGAAAACTTGGATCAGTTTTCTGCAGAACTGAAAGGGGTTCCAGAATGGGGGAAATGTGTATATCTGGGAAATCGCCAAAATATTGGCAGCTGGGGAAAAGTTTAGGGGCACCATCTCGGGAAGTCTAGTGGAAAGGGATTGGTCTTTCAATACCCTGGCACAGGCCGTCATAGCTTCTTTTTCTTGGGCACACTAGCAGAATCCAGAGTGTGGGAAACGGTATGGATCTCCAAGCACTGTGTGCACACGCACGGCCAAGCACACACACACAACTATACTGAGGCAACCTTTTGCATTAGAGCTTTTAAAAGGATTTGCTCGGTTATTCCCTATTGTAAATTCATGATCGCTTCCCTTCCCTCTTCTATTTCAGCTTCATGTTTCCTGTAACTGGTGGACTTGGCCCTCAGGGTATGTAAAAGTTCTGAACACTAACTTACCTTAATGCGTGTGTATGCAGAGGGAAGCTAGCTGAAATATGCTATATCTGAATATAGCTCCTTAGGCTCAGAATTCCGATTATAGAATCCATTTCTGAGGGGTTTTTTTGTTTTAGATTTGGCTCTTTCCCATCATGTGCAAAGTGATGCTTTGGCTAAAATATGAGGGTGTGGAAATACATATTAGAAGAGCCTTTGGGCTCCCGATACGCACACACCTCTGTACAACTGCGGCTTCCAGGGTTCTTTGAGGAGAAGCCAGGATACGTGGTCACCTAGGACTGGTATAGACGTAATGCTGCCCACCTGTTTCAAGTGATCTTCCCCAGTTATCCTGCCTGTAGTTAAACGACGTTTTAGCAATGGCTAATACTAATTGCCTGCTTTGTAAATGGCTGTAATGGAATTCCTGGTGAGCATTCACCATGATTTAAAGCCTGTACGGACAGAGTCCTGCCCACAGCCGTAGCACAGGTACATCCTCCACACCCCCAGTGGCCTGAGAGAGGAGGGCTGGCCTGTGGCAACAGCAGGCATCCTTGGGCAGATGCCAGGGCCTCAGAGTAATTCTGTGTCAGGGACATTGGGGGAGATCAAAATGGCAATTAGGCCCAGGGGCTTTTGGGTGAGGCTAATTGACTGAAGCTTGAGAGGAGACTTTGCCAAGTTCTCCTTCAGACCTGGAGGTAGCCCCGGGTATGTTTGTTGAAATTCTTTTTAGCTTTTTCCTCAGTCACAAAAAGATTCCCAAAAAGGCTTACAATTAGTCCATTAAATAAGAGCATCCTTACCCTGCATGTTTGCAGCCTGGACAGGACAGCATGGGAAAAAAGTTCTTCAATTTTTATCCTGGCTGGAAGGATGGCCCTGTCTCACCTCTCGTCTCCTGGGGCGGATGCTGTCCAAGCAGAGCAGACCCTGGTGTTCCCTTCACCTTCTTTGGTCTTCCTTACGCCTTCTTTTTTTCAACAGGCTATTTGATGCCTGCCCTGTATGCAGGGGTGTTTCAAGACAGGGGACAGGGCACATGGAGCAGGGCCCACGGTCTCCTTGCACTGCTCTGCTGTTTGTTCCTTCTCCCTTAACCTTGCCTAACAGAGGGGCCATTTTCTTTCTGCCCTAGCCCAAGGATTCTGACTTGTAGCTAGGCCAGTATAAACTCAAGCAGACCAGAGCCTTAACCAATTGTTAATGTCTTGGTGCAGGGATGTTTCCAATACAACAGCAAGGCTTTCCAATGGTATCCGTCATGCAGCACAACATGCAGGGCATGATGGGAATGAATTACGGCTCTCAGATGCCTCCCGGAACGATGGCCATGCAGGTTTGGAACTAATGTTTACGCAAAGTCGTTGAGTTCGCCTTTAACGTGACCCATGAGCTGATCGTAGCAGGAGCGAGAGGAATGTATGCGAGCAAAATGGCAAGCTGGCCAGCCTAGGGTTTTGGAGGCCTGGGGGTGGACCTGTCACCTCTAAACGTGTAAAGGCTGGACTGACTCCATTTGAAAACAAAAGCCCTGGAGTCCTGCTGCCAGGCAAGGCAGGGTCTCTAAACCGTTTTGACGCATGGCCACATTTGAGAAGCTGCAGTGGGTGCGATTACAAAATGGTTCCCATAGCGGTGGCGCCTAATCTATGGAATGCGCTCCCCAGAGAGGTCCGCCTGGTGCCGCAGGCGAAGACCTTTTTATTTAAGTGTCATTTTAATTGTTAATATCATTTGATTTTATCTGGCCAGGGCGACTTATTTTATATTGTTATTCTTTGTATTTTTAACTTAATGTTTGTATTTTACAAACATTTTAACTTAATGTTATGTTAAGTTAATGTTTTAACTTAATGTTTGTATTTTAACTTAATGTTGTGAGCCGCCCCGAGGCTTCGGCGAATGGGGCGGCATAGAAATGTTTAAATAAATAAATAATAAATAAATAAATAGCGAAGCAGGTAGGTACATAACGGCTGCTGTGGAGGCTTAGCCAGTCCGAAGCAAGCCAAGGAGGAGATGGCTGCAGTGGGGGATGGCAAGGCCACCTGGGTGAAAGGGGCGGGGAGAGAAAGAAAACTCCCTTAAGATTTTTCTAAAGCTTTACTTGGAATGTTTATTTTTAAATGGACAGGAAATGGGAAATTTCATGGGTGTCATTGGAAATCCCACAAGCACTGCACTGGGGGACCCTGATGCAAGGCAACCCTCTAATTTTTTCCATGTTGTATATTCTTAAAAGTGCTCCCATATTGAGTGCTCCTTCATCACTGGGTAGAAATCAGGAACTGGCAGATTTCTTCTGGTTGTGTACCACGTGCTTTGTCCTAAGAGTGGGGGACACTCCTCTCATTTTTAACTTTATAACGGATGTTGTGATTTTATAAGAAATGAAGCCTAACAGACATTCATCCTCACTTGGAGCAATCTTACTGTGAATTAGCTCATGTATTTTGTTTTTTAAAGCTCGGGCTGGCTTATTTTTAAAATGGAAGAAAAAGCTGCAAATCAGTTCAAACCGAAATTCAAATTCTGTCCGCAGGGTGGCATGCCTTTGGGTCCTATGCCTGCATCTGGGATGCAATTCATGGGGCAGGCTCCCTTCCTAGGAATGCGCGCTGCAGCTCCCCAGTACACGCCCGATATGAGGAAGCAGTATGCCGAAGAACAGCAGTAAGTGATGCTTTTAGTTCTGGAGCCGGGGGTCAGGCTAGATGGCCTGAGAGACCCCTTCTGACTTTCCCTCTTAATTTGTCTCTAGTCTTTACCCATAGTTGGTCTATACAGCTGTGGGAATTACGAAGAAATTGGTAAAGCATAGCACCGAAGTAGTATTTTTAACTGGTGTGGCTTATATGTTGTAGGAAACGATTTGAACACCAGCAAAAGTTTTTGGAAGAAGAAAGGAAAAGGCGCCAGTTTGAAGAACAGAAACAAAAGCTGAGGCTTTTAAGCAGTGTGAAACCAAAGGTATGTTATGAATAGTGCCTTCAGTGGCAGCCCATTACATTTTAATTAACTTCTGTCAAGTTGTAAAATTAGCCCACACTGAGAGCCAGTGTGGTTAAGAGTGTGGAACAGGCAATCTGGGTTCTAGTTGCCCCTCAGCCATGGAGCCAGCTGGGTGACTTTGGGCCAGTCTCAGCATCTCAGCCCAGCCTACCTCACAGGGTTCTTGTTGTGAGGAAAGCATGGAGAGGAAGAAAAACTTTGTAAGCCACCCCGGCTTCTTTGGAAGGAAAAAAGTGGGATAGAAATATAATAAATAAACAATACAAGTGTGATTAGACAGAAATAACTACTACAAGTCTTAGCATCCTTCCAGTGAGACATATTGGCATGGAATACTAGGAGTTCTAGGACTCAATTCCATTTAAAGCTGAAAATCTACTTATTTCCCCCCATTTTCCCTTTCCCTTCCCTATCCTCTTTTCCTTGTGAGTTATCTCCTTTCAGATTATCAACCTGCAGGTAGGGAATGCCTTATTTAACTGATTGTAAGCAACTCCAGGGATCTTTTTTTACTTAATAAGCAGATAGAATAGTTAGCAGATTTTTTCTGCTTAACTATGTATAGGATCATGCTTTTTCACAGTAAATCATGTATTTTTTTCAGATGGGTGAGAAAAGCAGAGATGATGCACTAGAGGCCATTAAAGGGAACCTGGATGGCTTTTCCAGAGATGCTAAACTCCACCCCACGCCAACGTCACATCCAAAAAATGCAGGTATTCAATCTTCATAAAATAATGGTGCAAATGGAAACCTCTGATGGATGCAGCTTTGGGGTAATAAAAACATCTCAGGTCTTACTAGAAATGCTAGTATATTCAGAACATAATCCAAGCAAAGTTAAGCATTTGTAAATCTCACTGATTTCGATGAGAGATAGTTAACTATATTGGATTGGTCTATTGAAATCAGCAAAAAGTTTTAAGAATGCTTAACTTTGGCTGGATCGCAGCCATATTGCATTATCATCAAAGTCAGAAAATGGGTAAAAGTGGCCAGCAGGAAAACTTCTGAAAATCATGGGTTTGCTGGTCACAAGCTGGGGGAGGAACAGAATTACCCCGACAGCACCTCTTGTTGCATCATGCAAACCTGACTGGGGTGGCTTTTTGCCAGGGGTAACAAGCCATCCAGAACTCATGACCTGCTGAAGTGTTCTGGGTGGCTTGTTATACACCGCAACAAACCCACCCAGCTGCATTTGCTCAACATGACAAGCTGAGCCGCTGGGCATAATATACTCTGTGCAAACCAGCTCAGAGAGTTCTGTGGTTAAGGTGCCACCACTAACAAGGCTCTAGTTTCTCCCTGTTCTTCAAACAGCGAGGGCATCTGAAGGCAAGACATCTTTTCTGTTTTAGTTTCATGCTGTTCACTTCTTTGGGATCTGCTCAGATATGGAGCAGTGTACAAATACTGGAAATAAAATAAATCAATTCCTTGTAGAGGATGTTCAGTCAGATAGGACATTGTGGCGGGGAACATAGTGAAGGAGAGTCTCTTTCAGGTTTTTAACCAGTTGCCGAAGAAGCAGGCCATTTTCCATTTTAAGTTTGAACTTGAAAACAGCTTGCCTCTTCAAGCATTGCAAAGGGCTGCAGTGAAAAATTTGGAATATGTTCTAGCTGCACATATGGCTCTCCGCTCTCATACGTGCCTATGTTTTAGCAGGATCAGTGCAGTGCTCAAGTGAGGTTTTCTTCCTCTTCCCTGACTCCTCACTTCAGAAGACTGTCAAACAACCTCTTGTACAGCTGGCTAGAATGTAGGTCCCAAAGATCAAGCAAACCAGAGCAGAAGTCCTTAGCAGAGCAGCGTACAAAGCCGTGTTTTAGCACACTAAACCAGGCCGTTTGAATGGAAGTGGCCGAACAAGCACCCTACTGAGCTGAAACTCGCCACTTCCCACTTTTCTTAGCAAAGAGGCTTTTTTCCGCCACTGGTTTCCATTCCGTGTGTGTCTGTATGTGTGTGTGTTCATTCCATTTTGCAGATCATCCCACACCATCCCATTCCACTGTGCCTGTCTCCCAAAACTCTGCCTTTCTTGACGACGAGGAATTTAGTGACTTTATACAGGGGCCTGTTGAAACCCCACCATTCGGGCCTCCAACCTCTTCCCAGCCTTTTCAGTCTTGCCATCCTTCTTCCCAGGCTGGGCAACGGCTTTCAGAGAAGGCTGTGGCCCAGACTCTCCCTCCAATCCAGCTTCCTGTGTCCTTCGTTCAGCACGGAACCATGGGGCAGGTTCCCTATTTCCCTGGTTCTCCAGCCACACAAAACACTCAGAAAACAGGTAACATGCCATATCTTTAGTGCTGGTGCTGGTGGGAGGGGGAGTGAAATATGTCAGTCCAGAATGTGGGAACTGAAGTGGCGCATGGGGAATTCCGCCCCATCAAATAACTTCAGACAAAGGGTTTAAATTAGAGCTTCAGTATTTAGGCTGCAGTTCTAAAGCACATGGAGAAAAACCCTTTTGGGGGCAGTGGAACTTAACTTCTGAATAAGTACACAGGGGGTTGTGCTGTGCATTGATCATGAAGCTTCTGATTGGTTAAAAATTGCCTGTGTGTCACCTGTGCATCACACGCACCAATAGTGAACTGAACTGGTGAGTGCCCGTGGAAATGAAACCAAACTGGGGTCATTGAGATACAAGAGGTGGGGGAGGTATTGGCATGTTTCAGGGGAACTCAAGGTCTGTATCAGTACCGACTCTCCCTGCCCCCCCCAAAAAAAAACAACCAACACTCAAGCAGCCAGAAGACAGTCCAATGTGGGCTTAGTCAGAAGGAGGGAAAAAGGCTAAGCGTATCCTTACATCAGCCCTAGTCTTGCGTGATGTGGCCATTCATTCATTCTTGTTTCTGCACCTCAGTATTTCCTTTTCTGCCTGTGGAATCTTGGAGCAGAACGACTCTCCAAGCTGAGGTGTTTCACTAAATACAAATAACTGCTCCTTTTGTTTGTCCAGGCCCTTCCTTGGAAGAGAAGCCCTTACCTCCTTGTGAGTTGAGTGAGTTGGGGCAGACTCAAATCATACTCAAAACGCCCGAAGTTGAGCTCAGTGCTGCAGCTCCGGCTGTGAACTGCACTGATCCCAGTTTAGCTGCCAGTAACTGGAAGGCCGTAGGGGCGCTCCCAAATGGCAGTGCCGGTCCAGAGGCAAACGAAGCTTCAAAGCAAAAGCTGTCAGTTAACGAGCGTGGTGAGCAAAACTGCATTTATGGCAAAGCATATGCTGAAACGCTGCTTGAACGTTCTAACCCCGTAACCAGGGAACTTTGCTCTGAATCCCTGCTTCAGTATTAACAGCAAAGCGTCCGTTCTCCTTGACTTATCCATAACACCAGCGAGATCTTACTCTTCTTTCAGTCCTCTATTGTCTTGAACCCTTAAATGGTCAATACGTAACATGCTTTTCCGATAAGAATCAGTCCTGTCTTGCTTCCAGCCAAACATTGTTTGAATTGTGCATGCTTTCTTGCAATTCCTGTCCTTGTTGTTAAGTTCGTGGGAGGGGAATGGATACCTTCTCCCCTATAAAAACCAGCACCCCCTCTTTTGAAGCTGCTGAGTGCAGATTCAGGTCTGAGGAGAGCCAGCGGTTTCTTTTGCAATGCATAATGAACCAATAAGAGTTCATGAATTTTACGTGTGCTCACTAAATGCTCTTGGCTAGTTTTCGGGTTTGACATGGTGTGGAAAAAAATTGTTCCCTTAGTCATAGCTTCAGCATTAATGCTAATTGAGCACCTTTTCCAAGGGTGATATATAGTTGCTTCAGCTCCTTAATTTAGGTGCCAGTACATTCCCAGAACCAATGGGAATATCTTCCCATTGAGCGAAATGTCTGTTGACTTTCCTAGCTGGAAGCCCTCCTGAATGTGTTGTGCTACAACTCCTAGTTGGGTGGAGGATACTGGGAGTTGTAGTTCAGTACATCTAGAGGCTGCCCTAGAGTAAGGATATAATTGGCAGCCTTTTAGAGGTGTGTACATGGACTGGTGTTTGTGAAAGCACCTGTATGAAACCGCCATGGCTTGGAATGGTATGAAATAAACTTGTGATGGAGGCAACCATCACATGGCAGGCTTGGGTTTTTTCCTCACCTGTCAGACAAAGAACAGTAGGTGTGGAGTTTGCCCATGAAACAAAGAGGTGACTGTAAAAGTCAACACTCTGTTGGCAAATGTGATTGCCTGAATCCGTCTGGTGTCTCTGAGGACCAGGCTGTTAGGTTTCCCTTCCTCTGGCAGTTCGCCTTACTAGAGGTAGAAATAACAGTGTGTCCACGGAAGGCCAGAGAACAAACACATCAGCCTCCCCTCCCCTGGAACGCTTCAAATTATGCTCGTTGGCCACGGTGGCTGGAGCTGATAAAGGATAAAGCCCAAAACATCTGGCAGGCACTAGGTTGAGGAAGTCTGGAATAGATCTTATTATGAGCAGTTGATTACTGCTTATATTCATGAGATCTTATTATGAGTACTCTCCTGCCGAGTGTCATTTGTTTCACAGATCACCCATGAATCCTGCAGGCTGTTGCTGGGGACACAGTGCAGAGAAATGTGACAGAATCTCTCTTGTGTGCAAAAGTGTCTGGGACACTGCTCTGAATGCAGAAAGCAAAATTCTCCACTGAATTAATCCAGGTGGTGGTGGGGTCCTGTGTGCCTTTGAACCAATGGCGTGCCTGTTTTACCAAACTACTTGTAGAAAGCTAATTTCTCCTTTGTGATAAGGTGACAAAATTTTTTTAGAAGATTCTCCTGCTGTGATTGTTTCCTAAATGTAGAGCTTTCTTTTTGTTTGTGTGCACATCTTTAGGTGTTGGAGTATTTCCTTCACAGGATCCAATCCAGCAACTGATGCCTCCATGGATTTACAACGATAATTTAGTTCCAGGTAAGAATAATGATGATAATGAATCCAGTAGGGATTGTGCTTATTGATCTTAGAAACATTGCCAGCTTGTCTCCTTGTAATTAAGCTAACTTTGCTTCTTAAGAGTATTTGTCTTTCATGTGTGTTGAAAGTCTGGTGAACAAAGAATGAAGTGCTGTGCAAAATATTGAGTAGGTAACACCGAATTTTAAAGTGGGTCCTGCTGCTAAGGGTATCTCTTTACAAAGATGAGAAAGGCAGAAGCCATCCCTTCAGAAACAAACTGGCACTATCATACCAACCTCATACGCACTTGAAATGCCAGGCGTCATGCTGGTTACCGCATCTAAAAAATGGTATTGCAGAGCCGGAAAAGGAGCAGAAAGGGGCAAGAGGCTGGAGCAGCTTCCCCGGGAGGAAAGGGTACAACATATGGCTGTTTAGCTTTTGAGACAAAGCAAAAGAAAAAAAAATGATAAAAGTGTGCCCAGTTTTGCTTGACATACAAGTGATGACACTTTTCTTCCAGACTTACAATTTGCTAATTTGGAAGATCTCTAAAAGGGATCAGACAAATTTATGGAGGAAAAGGCTATCAATGGCTACTAGTTCTGATGGCTATAGAATACCTCCAATGACAGAAGCAGTATGTCTGTGTACACCAGTTGCTGGGGAACATGGGGAAGAGAGTGCTATTGCATTCAAGTCCTACCAGTTGATGCAGCTGATGGGCCAATGTGTAGATGGAATACTGTATTTACTCCAAGACAAAGCCTTGGGCCTATCCAGCCCAGGGCTTCCTAGCACGCGTCTTGACTGTGCAGTGCTCAGTCAGCTTTGGACTGACAGTTTTTCTCCTGTTACAGATTTATACAAGAAAATTTTGGAAACCACTATGACACCTGCTGGGATAGACACTGGCAAGCTGTATCCCATTCTCATGTCCTCTGGGCTTCCCAGGGAGACTCTTGGACAAATTTGGGCCTTAGCCAATCGGACCACTCCTGGGAAGCTTACCAAAGAAGAACTGTATTCTGTTCTGGCTATGATTGCGGTGACTCAGGTAGGACCAAGAGAGAACTGGGAGAGAAATCTCGGACCAAGCAGTTCTTATCACCGTTCCTGCTGTCCATTATCCGGAACGTGTACATGTGCCTGTGTCTGTGTTAACGCTTCTGGGAGCCAGGCAGCATGTTGCATTTCTTCCATCCTTTAAAAGTATGTTTCATACTCAGAGTAGTCCTTGGCAAGCACGGCAGGTTGAGCACTTGGAAAGGGAATATCTGAATTATCTGTGCTGGCCTTTGAAGGTTCAGGTTGGGTAGCTGACCTTGAAGCAATTATAAAGGTGGTGCTGGGTAGCCAAGCATACAATAATCAAGGGGGGGGGAGTGCTAGGTACCCAAAAGATCCAGGAGTCCCGTGCCCCTCCATTCACAACTTTTCATATTCTAGTTCACAAACACTTGAAAGTCTGTGGAGGGTGCTGCCTCTTAATGGTACCCTTTTTTGTAAAAAGGGATGTGTGGACCGGAGGGGAGGACGTTTGATTTTAGAAAGAAACCTCAGGCAGGAAAGTACGTGGGGAGCAGGAGGTGAAGTGCGTGAGGGCAAAAGCCAGCTCATCAAGGGGGAATCAGATGCAACCTTGATCCTTAGGGCCCTTGAACCTTTATTGCACTGAGTATCAGTGGGCAGCAGGGTGGTGTGACAGATGGCCCGCCAGAGATCTGGGGCTCCCAAGGAAAAATGCCCGGCTCCGGTCCTGATGGGCCTCCCCCAGCACTTCCTCCTGCTTTGAGGGACTCCGATATTACATGTGTTTGGCTAAGCCAGAGATGGGGAAAATGTGGCCCCCCAGATGAACTTGGAACTGCAGCCGACATTGACCCTCCTTGTTAGCTATGTTGACTAGAGCTGGTGGGAATTGCGGCACTCCAGATGTAGCTGCATTAGAAGTGGCCTACCCCTGGGCTAAGCAAACAGATACACCCTCATGGAGAAAAACCCCTTCTTTTGCATGGAGTTTGTCGTCGTCTTTGTTTGCATTCCGGGAACTGACCAGGTTCACATCTGCTTAGCTTCATCATCAGGCATCCCAAGAGGATTTGCTGCATCCCCAGTAACTGGGGAAAGTTGCACTTAACTGAGCGGAGCGTCGTTTTCTCCAGACAGATGTGTTGCACTGCAGCTCCCAGCATCCCCCTGACTGACACGGCTGTGCTAGCTGAGGGTTATGCGGGCCAACATATCTGTAGGGCACTGACTTGGAGAAGGCTAGTAATGCATCATCTAGGAGGGGATTAAAACAAAAACGACGACCACAATTTGTCGCTTCGTCTCCACAGTGTTGTTGAAGGAATACAGCGATGTGTGACCTGTACTGTTTTCTCTTCCATCCCCCACATACAGAGAGGAGTTCCAGCCATGAGTCCTGACAGTCTCAACCAGTTTCCTTCAGCCCCAATCCCTACACTAAGTGGGCTTCCAATGGCGATTCCGGTCACTGTGGGCCAGCAGCCGATGATGCCCACCGGGCAGCCAGTCTCCATGCCCCTTAATCTGGGGCCTCCTCTTGTGGGGATCAGCATGGCAGCGCCCGTGAGTGGATCTGCAGCACAGGCTCCCAGCAATTTCATGCAGACTTTCCCTGTGGTCCAGGTTAGTGCGGTGGGTGCGAGACATAATTAACTGGCCTTATTCTTGAAGCAGGTTTAAGGCAATTGTCCTGCAGAGCTAAGTTTAGGCAGTGGGGCTCAAGTGAGTGCAAGTGTTTAGGAAGCTGGGGGTTTTCCAGCGGGTGGTTATAGGAAAAAAAGGAAGTTGTATCTCTGTTCCCAAGAGTATTCTAACCCCTGTCAAATCCCCAGGAACAGAAATAGTTTTCAATAGTTTGAAGCAGTTCAGAGGGCTGGTTTTGATCTAGAAAGCTCTAAATCAAGAGTGTAGAAGCTCCAAATGCAATCAACTCCCACTAGCACTGCAAACGGTTGGGGGTTATAGGGCTGGTTGTCCGGCCCTGCAACATGAATTGAGAGCAGGAGACCTTAAGGAAATCTCAAGTGTATTCCGATGGAGCCCTGATGCTCTGCTCAGAGGCCCACCACCCACCATAGGTGAGGTGGGTGGTGACTAGAGACAGGGCCTTCTTCAGTAGTGGCACCCCATCTAGGAAAGGTATCTTAAAAGCAGCCAATAAATAGCAGAAGTATTTAGGGGGTTGATAACAGTGATGAAAAACGTTGGTGCCAGGTTGCTTCAGCCCTGAAAGGTTTCATGTAATTCAGGCAGCCAAACCAGATGATGACGACTTCCAGGATTTCCAAGACGCTTCTAAGTCAGGAGGGCTTGATGATACCTTTACAGATTTTCAAAGGGAGGTGCCTGGATCAAGCAAAGCAACCGCAGCACAACTCCGGAGCAGGTAGAGAAATCCAAGCTGTACATAATTTTATATGATGACTGGGGGCAGGTAGAGGTGTGTGTTCATATAAAACCAGATCAAATCTTTCAGTTCAAGAAATCCAGCAAGAGTAACATACTTCTTATGCCCCTCTCTAAAGTGAATGTTTCAGATCTAGGGGTGCTGCAAAAGAACTGTTCTCTTGTAATTGTATTTTGAATGCCTTATATTTAGATAGCTGGTATTGGATTTTATATATTACTAACTCCCTTTTCTTTTGGGTGTATTGTTGTTATTTGGGTGTATTGTTGAGTGTTTTGACATTATGGTATTTAATTGTTGTTGCTGGTGGAGTTTTTTTGCATATGTTGTAAGCCACTTAGGGTGTTCCCCAGAAGAGAAAAATGTGGCATATATAATAATAATAATAATAATAATAATAATAAAAATAAAATAAGCACCCTTCATAGATTTGCATGCCAAAGCTCCCATGCTCAGTCTGTGGCATCGCTAGTCAAAAGACTTACTTAGTCAAAAAGAAATTGCAGGCAGGCAAGTAGGTGGGCTGGCTGAGGAGCTGGAATATTTCCTAGGAGAGAAAAATGGAACATTTCATCCCCTCTCTGTGTTTTGTGATGATTTTTATTCTGAAAGATGTAAAATATAATTGTAACTAACAGGTGCATCTCAGGCACTGAGCATGCATTGAGGGTAGGTTATTGTTGAAATGTGGATTATTGTGAGGACAGCCCATGTTTTATTTTTATGTTGTGAAGCATAGGTCGCTTGTGGCTAAGAAATCTTGGTTAGTTGTCCGGCTGGGTTCAGATAGCACAATTTCAACAAGAACCCGTGGTCCTATGACCACCTGCTCTCAATTGCTGTGTTGGCTGGAGCATGCTTGAAGCTGTAGGCCTTTTTTGTCTAAATTTGCATAGGATTGCGCTGGAAATAAGGAGAAAGAAGGTTCTAGAAGCAGAAAAGGGTCCTTTGGTCAAAGGAAGGTATCTAAAAGAACGTCCTTCCCTCCAAAAAGGGGAGGAATGTTTTTAAGAAATCTTAAAATGGTGCTGATGAGGGGAATAGTTGTAAGCCGCCCTGAGGCTTCGGCGAATGGGGCGGCATAAAAATGTTTTAATAAATAAAATAATAAATAAAACAGTTTTGTGGGAGAAAACACGCAAGATGTGGTTGTGGGCCGGCTCTGCACAGGACTACAGTACTCTTTCCCGGTCCTTTCAGTAGCTCAAGTGCTGTTCGTGCTTAGGGTCCAGCCCTCCCCTTTCTAAAAGCAAGCTTTTCTTTGTAGCCTCAGAAAAGGGCTGTGCATTCAGAGCAGAATGTATGTAGGCAGCAAAACAAAGAAGGAAGACAAAGGCGTGCAGCTTAGGTTATTGACTGTCTCCACTCTGATCTCTGAGTCTAAAAATATATTTAGGATGCATTGTGGCGTAAATGTCACAATTACAAACTTGTGTGTGTGGTTTGTTCATTTGGGCATACATCTGGAAAATTTCTGCCCTCTGCCTGACCATGAATTGAGGTGTGTTTTCATTTCATTAGAAAGCGCTCAAACATCAAGATTAATTTTTGACCCTGTGTTTACCCTAATACACAAGGCTGGAGAATACCTGTTGTGATGACTGAAAACAGTGGATGGATTTCTCATGTGGCATGCAGACCTCTGTGCTGAGCTCTCTCCTTGTTTTCTTCAGCGCTCCTTCGATGCTGATACCTCTTTCTGGCACAGAAATGCTGCCGGCAGTGGATAAATACGCTGTTTTTAAAAGGATCACCTCTGACAAACCTGCTGAAGGCACAGCCTCGCTTGGAGGTAAAAAGCAGCGGTCGACCGTGGGGCTTTGCTTGCTTGTTCTTCTGGCATAAGTGGATGAATCTTTAACGAGATCGCTCTGCTATACGTGCTGGAGAGGTAGAGAGTCCCTCCTTTCCTCGCCCGCCTGGTGCATTGGCTCCACCTCCAGCATACCAAACCTGTGTGTGGTTGGAATGTTTGAAAGTAGTAAAGCACACACTTTGAACGTGTCCCAGGCTTGGTCCCCAGCGCCACCTGGTATGGCTAGGAAACTTTGTTGTCTTAAGTCATCCTCAGTGGTACCCAGAGTCTAGTGCTAAAGGCACAACCAGCTGCCCCCTAAAGGCAGTTGTCCCCCTTTGGCTCATGAAAGGATAATTAGCTCTTAAATCAGGTTCAAGTAGAGACACACGAGCCACAGAATTCCTGCTTCAGGAAAGCCTTTTAACCTTGGCCTGCTAGCGGTGCTCCTGCTTTTCTGGCTGCAGATGAACTGAACAGTATTATAATGAATTTTCTCCTTTTCCCTTTCTTTTCTTTCTCTCTTTTAACTCTGCACGTGATAGATTACGGGGACAAATACAGCGCTTTTCGAGAACTGGAGCAGCCATCCGAGAGTAAATCCATAGGTAAGCATGCCCAGGGTGGAATCCTTCATGCTGTTTCCTCCATGCTTTGTTCTGAAGGGGAGGTTGAGTGGTGTCTATAGGATCAGTGAAAACGAATTATTATTATTATTACATTTTTATACTGCCCATAGCCAAAGCTCTCTAGGCAGTTGACAGCAATATTCATAGAATCATACACTCAAGTCACCCATCCCATTTCTGCCCAGGCCTGACCCTGCTTAGCTTCCAAGATTAGGCAGGATCAGGCACTTCAGGCTACATGGAATTGACATTATTAACAGAGAGCTTCCAGTATAGAATAGAATTGAATAATAATAGTAATAATAATATAATTGCAAGGCATAAATGGGTTGTAGTCATTCCTTTAAAGCGTTGCTTTAACCCAGTCAAGCTGGCTAGAGGATACTGGGACATGTAGTCCACACCTCTGGAGGGCAGCCGATTGGAGAAGCCTGCTCTAAAGGAATGAACTTAACTTGCACCATCGCAGAGAAATCCGCAGGAGGGAAACTCTATTACTCGTGCAAGCCAGGAATGATGTCTGTGCTGCAGTAGGCTAAGTAGTTTTGGTGTGGTGGCAGCGATGGACACCTCCGGCATAGAGGAGGATGTGTGGGAGGGCTTCTCCGGCTGCCATTCATGGGGCGAATTCCTCCAATCTGACAGAGGCCTAGGACCGGTCTGCATCAGTAGGAGCTTGCACAACATGTTATAACTCCCAGTTGTCCTGATCAGAGGTTACATTTTCAAAATGGTGGCCATACCTGTTGGAGTCAATTATGCGTTCATTGACCCACAGGAACTCATAACATCACATGAACTGGTCCACTTTCTCTCACTTAGCTCTCCCTCACAGGGTTGTTGTGAGGTTAGAACAGTGTGGCGAGAAGGAGGGCCCTGTACAGCAGCCTGGGCTCCGTCGAGCATTCTTCCCCAACATAGCTCGCCAGCTGTTTTGGCTGACAGCTCCCAGTATTCCTGAATGTTGACTGTATTCGTTGGAGCTGTGAGGAATTGACATTCAAAACATCTGAAGAGTGCTGAACTGGGGAAGGATGCTTTAAAGAAAGTGTGAGACTTAAATGCAGTGTATTATGTGTAGTGGATCTTAGATAACTGGGTATAGAAAGGACCCTTTCTGTGCTTTGGACGGGACTTTGAATTTACTGCTTCATTTAGGACATACTGTGTTGTTCAGGATCTGTTCCCCAGAGGGACTGGCAATGCAGACCGAGAGCGATAAATTAGAACCAGAGGGAAAAACGCCAAGTACAGTAATAAAAGCATTACCAAGCTTAGAGACCTAAGGCCCTTCACAGTATGAGGCAACTCCACATGCTTCCTGGTCCTAGAATCCCCATATGGGTATGGAAGATGCTTACTTCCTTGCTTCATATATTTTTAGGAATTGGAGTCCAAGGGAAATGCATCATTAATCCTGGGTTCTCAGTAAGCTCCGCTATAGTGCTATCTGTCCTTCATCGTGGTGTGATAAGCAGAAATGGAGGATGCTGCGTGTAGGGAGTGGTCTGGGGCCTTAGAACATGCAGTAACATTTTTAAGCCCAGCTGAAGTTAGTCCCTTTTCAAGGGAGCTTCTCCTTAAAAGAAGAGAAGAAGAATTTATACAAAAAGACTGTTGGGACTCATTCACCAGTGTCCACATTGTGCACAAAACTGAAACCTGGTACATATACGAAGACCCAGACTGTTTCATTGGGGCATTACTTCTCCTCACAGCAGCTTACAAAGATTAATAATGAGATAGTCACTACCCTCAAGCTTATCATTTATGTCTTTTAAATGGACACAGAAAGAAGAAGGATTGGGAGGATGAGAGAGAGAGAGAGAGAAAAAAAGCAAAACTTGGACACTCTTTCTTAATCTCAAAGTTGTTGAGATGCTGTTACCTGCAATTGTTCCTTCTTAGGCTGATGTATGGGGCTAGGTTGGTCTCGCTTGCCGTGGGGAGCAAGGAATGCAGTCTCCCTCGGTTCCCTGGCTGATAGATCTGAAAATTAAACATCAGGGTAGGAAGTTTAACATATGACGGCGGGCAAGAATGATTCACAGACAAAGCGAAGAGCAAACATGATCCAGCATTGGGGGCTGCTGGAGCACCTATTTTCCCTTCACACAGTTGAGTTAGCTTCCGGGGCTGGATACCTGCATTTCCTTCGCGGGGCTGCAACCTTCAGCTTTCTAGTAAATGCCATCAGGAGATGAACCTGCCCCTTTAAGCTTCTCTTCTTTAGGAGCATGATTTCCTTTGTGTACTATTTTAAGAACTGGAGTAGCTGCAACTTTCATTAAAGGCTTGGAGGTGTCGCATGCTCGTCGCTGCTCAGGATGAGATCCTAGGAGCGCAGTCCACCGCCTGTCAGAATGCCCTACATCTCTTAGGACTGTGGGACCTGTATCTGCCTAAACAAGCATAGGCCTTTGTCCTAGATCGCTCACTGCTGCCCAGGTCTCGGCTGTTTGTTCTTCGTTGTCCGTGTGAGTTTCCACGGGAGCAGGCCCTTGTCCTAGCCAATATTTTAAGCGTGGGGGTTTCTCGCCTTGGTCATTCTTTGTCACCAACGGGTGAATCAAGCTCAGTGAAGGGGTAATACCGCTCCCCTACCCACACCTGCTGCTGCATTTTAAGGGATACGATGGAGGGCTTTTTCATTTCTAGCATCTGACCAGGGCATCGTCACAGCTGAAATTAAATGGTGGGAGGAAAGAAGGCACATCCATGAAATTAAGGTGTTTGATCATTTAAAACTCTGTTCAGCATACAGGGATGCAAGATACTGCAGAGGGGGTCAAACACAAGTGTAACAGGACAGAGGCTAAGGCTTGGGGACGGGGTGGGGGAAGAGAGCGATGTTGATTTTCACTTGCCCTTTTGTCATTTTTAACCCTTTCACCAGCTTACATTTCTAATGGAAAAACTTGCAGTCCGTCAGTAAGTTGGGTTTTGCTGTGCCATGCATCAGTTGGATTAAAGTCAGTTTCACAAAAATATCCTGGAAAAGCTGAAGCTTATTCCATTTTTCAAGAAACAGTAAAGTCTGCATCATCTATATCAGGCTTATATTCAGGGTCCTCAATATTTCTTGCCACAACTCAAAATCTGCCTGAAGTTCTGGCCTTCTTGTATGTTAACTTATGGTAATATTTGTGAAACTGGCTTGACTGGAGGTGTTGGTGATGGAGCTTTGAAATATTAAAAAAAACCTCAGTGTGTGTGCATAGATGAAGAGGGTCGCATTGCATTTTATGTAATACAGAAATTAATATCAGCTTCTGTGTAAATATGTGATGCTGGTGAATGGGTTAATCCAAATTAAGTGGGATGAACCCTGTATTTTAAAATAAAATATTTCAGTAGCAGTGGTAGAAGTAAACTTTCTTAGATGACTTTAAAAAAAGATGATGACTTGAAGCAACAAAATTTAAAAACACAAAATTTAAAAATGATTTATAATGGCTAAAACACTCACTAAAATATCATGACTTCATAAAACAGCGAAAATGTTAGTACAGCCAAACATTGAGCTGATGCATGAAGAGAGCAATCTTCTGGCCCCGAGACACCTTCGGGGAGGTCATAAGATACTTTGGATTCCCAGATCCAAGGTTGGATGGAGAGAGGACTTAGAGCTGGGAATCCTTTCCCCTTGCTGCCGGCATGCCAAAATCCACACTGACTGCTTCTCCAAGATCAGGAGCACAGCCTTGGAGAACGGGCCAAGGGGGCTTTCTGGTGGGCAGGGAGGGGAAGAGGCTGCAGAGACCCGAGGTATGATGGGCCTTGGTGCCCTTGCAACTTCCTTCCCTGCCCCTCCGGAGCACGGCAGCTGAAAACAACCACCCGGCAAAAATGCAGGGCCGGAGGAGCAGGGAGGCAAAGGTCAGCCTCTGAGTGAGGCAGCTGGCGATTGTCCCAATTAGATTGTGGCCCAAGAAGCCCACCCTGTTTCATCAAGTGCCTGGGAACAGTGGAACACTCCAAAAAGGCGGCAACACTGGCACCTGGTGGACACGGCCAGAGAGACTGTTCACACCACCTGAACACGTCCAGAGATGATCCAAACGGACACGTTGCACCCTTCATCTTTCCCATTTCTGTGAGGCTATGTGGGTTGAGTTTAATTAGGGTGCACGTGCAGTTCTTGATTGGCGGGTCTGGAGGCAGCTTTGCTCAATGCAGTCTTTCTGTCCCAGGCAGTTTATGTAGCGTTGTAAACCTCTAGGCGTGTATTGGGTAGGGATGGGACTGTTACGCAGTTCCCCCAGCAGTGAGATTTTCCAGGGTGGCACAACCTGGGTTTTGCTTCCTTTTAGAAGAGCGAGTTTTAAATGAAATAGAACAAATAAAATATAAGTCACTAAAAGATCCCCTCGGAGTCGCCTCTTCTCCAGGCTGAAAAGACCCAGTTCCCTCGATCTCTCCTCATACGTCATCCTTCCCAACCCAGCTACCATTCTTGTGACCCTGTGCTGAAACGATTCTAACCTAGCTGTGCTAGAAAACCAGAGTTGTAGAGCCAGGGTTCCACTAGATTATGATAGCCTGTGAAGGGAGTGCCATCAGATGAAGATCTCGACCCTTGGCAGGTTATTTTGGGGCAAAATGTGGAGCTATCACAGTTAAACCAAATTTGAAACTGCTCTAACTTTATAAATAGCCGATGTCCCCTGAGGTGGGGATGAAGGAATGGGAATTCCATTTCTGCTCCTTGTATAAATTATTAAAATGAAGCAAATTTGCATGATTTTTACAGCACATAATTATGGCTTTGTATTGCAGACAAGCACTTTTTTAATCAAGGTTCATTTTAGTCTTGTTGAAGACTGATAGAATGAAGCATGTGTAATCAGGGATTTAAGCTGAAAAGTGGGTTGTGGAATAGCATTTGCATCTAGATTTATCTGCAGCTAATCCTCTCCCTGTGCCAGTCAATTCACTGCACTTGCTTTCGGATCATCGCTAATCGGCTGTTTTGCTGCCACATCAAATTTTAGGGAAGGGCACTGTTCTTCATCTGGTTGCTTAACGGGTATCTTATGCCCATCAATTAATTGGAAATTGAGGCAGCGATTTGACTCAGTTTCTTAAATCATACTGGTAATTTTTCTCTAGTCCTGCTTGTAATAGGGGTGGAACTAAGTAAGAATATCAAGTCTTTTTTAATGCCTCCCTGTGTAAAACTAAAACAAACCAAAAAAACTTTCCCTTGTAAGGAAAACAGCTCCCAGTCCTCTAGCAAATCCTGAAATGTTCTAGCTTAGCTCACTTTTTTCCTAATAGTTTTCATTTGGGACAGAGGTGTATTTTGTCGTAACCTGGAAGGCCAGTTGGTGTAGTGGTTAAGAGTATGGAACTGGGTCTCAGGAGATCTGGGTTTGAGTCCCCACTCAGCCATGGAACCAACTGGGTGGCTTTTGAGTCAGGCACAGACTTTCAGCCCAGCCTACCTCCCAGGGTTGTTGTGGGGATAAGACAGAGCAGGAAGAGGAGGATGATGGAAGCTGCTTTGAGTTTGTTATAAGGGAAAAAAGGGATATAAATCTAATAATATATAAATAAAGCCATTAAAATGTGTTTACTTCCCATTTTTTGTTCAAAATAGTACAGATTGTGTCTTTTTTCTTTATCATTGTTATGTTAAAAACAAGATTTAAAACTTGTTTTAAATCCTTGGGGAGAAGTGAGATGGAAACTGGACAGAATACACAAACTAGCCCCAAAACGATTTTGAGCATTTGTGTGAATTAATGCATACACTGCATGCATGGGAGAATGTCACAGCTGTCATTTCAGAAATTCCACCGATGTTTCCGTTTTTCATCTACCTTCAGGAGACAGCTTCGCAGAATTCAAATCTGCAGGAACCGACGATGGCTTCACAGATTTCAAAACGGCGGACAGCGTCTCTCCCCTAGACCCACCGACAAAAGATAAACCCTTTCTTCCACCTTTCTCTTCTCTACCTACCCAGTCAAAGCCGCAGTCACAAGTCAAGCAGTCTCTGAATTTGGCAGAGTTGGATCTGTTTTCCTCAGCCCCTGCCGGAGAGAACAGACCTCTTCCCGTTCCAGCTGCCTACAATTCCCCAAAACTGGCATCTTTCCCTGCCCCACCACCTGCAACATCAGCTGCTGCTGCTCTGCCAGTGGCCAGCAATAGCTCAATTTTGGCCGACGATTTTGCCGACTTCAACCTATTTGGGGGGATGTCAAATTGCACCTCGGCCACAACTCAGGATGAATTTGCAGATTTCATGGCCTTTGGAAACAGCGCCAGCTCTTCCAAGCCACCAGTAGATGAGAAATACAGCTCCCTCAAGCAGGAAGGCAGCCCCATTCCTCCACCTGGCTGCTTAGCCAATGCTGTGAAAAGTCCAGCTCCCGCTTCCACCAAATATGACATCTTCAAACAGCTGTCTCTGGATGGCCCTGGATTAGGCTTTGAGGAGCTGAAGGACCACACCCCTTCATCAGTGAAGAGCGAAGATGACTTTCCCGACTTACACTCAAACAGGTTTTCCTCGAGTTCTGAAAAATCCCTGGTTGACAAACTGGCTGCTTTCAAGCATGCCAAAGAGGATTCAGCCTCTGTCAAGTCCCTGGATCTCCCATCCATTGGGGGCAGCAGTGTAGGAAAGGAAGACTCCGAAGATGCACTCTCTGTTCAGTTGGACATGAAACTGGCGGACGTAGGAGGCGACCTTAAGCATGTCATGTCAGATAGTTCTTTGGATTTGCCAACCGTTAGTGGCCAACATCCGCCGGCAGCAGGTGAGGAACTCGTTAGATTGCTCTGGTAACAGTGACAGTGGAAGTGTCCCAAAGGGTTGCTCCTGGAGCTTAATGTCTGTTATAAGCTGGTCCTCCAGTGGGAGAAGGCTTCTGAACCTGTATTCGTGGCTAGCTGCTAATCTATTAACCAAGCAGTGTTACACATTTTCTGTTGTCCAATGTCATTTTCAGGTTGGATTGTGTTGAGGTGGGGACCCCACACCACACAGTATTCGTGTTGTCCTCTTAGCCAACCCCGGTTTCAGGTGAAGCGCTCTTCCGGCGTGTGGCACATGAGAGAGCTGACGCTAAGAAGAGGCTGCTCACACCCCCTAGTTTTTAGCTAACTAATTGGTAAGGTAGCTTTAGCCTGCATCCGCTTTGCTGAGAACCGTTGCGTTCTCAAAAGACAGAGATGGGTTTTCCAAAACCTTGCACATCTCTGAAGATCTGTGAAATCGGAAAGATGCTGTACTGTTGGAAGGCTGATGTGTTCCTAAGCGAGAGCTTGTGCAGGTGTGTCCCTCTTGGCTTTTAGATTTTGACCTGTCCGTACATCACCATGCGCTGGGTGAATGATCCACCACTCACCTATTCCTGCTGGGCTGAACAATCCAGGGACATTCCATTTCCAGGTTGTTGTGGGTGAGGCCTGCACCTCAAATTGTGGGTTTTGCTGGGAGGAACAACCCACACTTGGTTTGCTGTTGAGTTACAAGTAGGTTTCTTTTTCTCGCAACAGCCCACAATCTCAGTTTCAGATGTCACAGACAGCAACCAGGGGATGGAACATTTCTGGGTTGTTCAGTCCAGTGGGAGCAGGCAGGTAGGAGCCATCACATCTGTGCACTCTGCTTCATTCAGCCCTGGGCTTTTGACTCAATCTCAGATCTCATTCCAGTTCTCTCTCGGGGTGAATTCCTTCTCTCTCACTTAGCCATGATTAAATGGTACCTGAGTGCTGATTGTTTACAACAGTTAACTTAGTCAGAATTTAGGTTTAAGTAGGATGTGAAGTTCACGAAAAGGAGTGGCTTTGAATTAGATCAATCTTTATTATGTGGTCACAGACCTGACAAGGTTTTGAATTAAAACCATGGCAAGTTATCATTTGAGCTTGCTTTTAGAGGCAGGGACTGCAGAGGTGTGAAGTTTACAAGCATTAGTTTACCCACAACTTAAGGCAGAACCAGTGCTAACCTCTGTACTGGTCCTATATCTTTGAAGAAATAATAATTATAATAATAATTTTGGTATGATTCTTACCATCAACTTTGGACAGATTGTCAGGCATGGGTGACCCCTGAACAAGTGTTTTTGTGCTTTCTAGTCACTGACTTAATTAGTATTAGACTCTCACTAAAATTAGTGTAGGAATGAGGAGATCTCTTCGGCTGGGGACTATTTTCTTACATTCCAGTTTTGTACACAAAGGTGTATATCAGTGTGTGTGTTTCTATAAGCACAGAATGGTTTCCTCAGTGTATAACTTTGCAGGGTGTGGGGTAGGTTCCTGATGGCTTGTGCTATATTTGAAATAGACACTGCTGTAGCCTTTTGAGTGCTACAAAGCTTGCCTATCTCCACATGCCAATAACGGGCTTTGAAATATGAAATGTAACAGACAAAGCGTCTCTGTGCAAGGAGTCCAGATCCATTTAAATGAACCGCTGGTGGTGTGCAAGCCACTTTCCCAGGGAGAGATCCTGTGACATCGCAACCTGTACATGACTACCAGGATCACCTGGGTGGGGCCCTGTAGCATGGAACTTTTTCATGCACGTGGGGTGATGACGGGGCCGGAGGGACATGCTCAGGTGGCCCTTGACCACTCGTTCTCACCTGGACAGCATGTGAACCGAAAGATGGTTGGATGCTCGTATGTTTGCAAATTTTCTTGGGTGAAAATTAAAACCAAGGGAATCGTGTTAGGATTTTGCCCCATTTTAATATTCTTTATGCTATTAGTGTTAAAGCAAATGAACTGAGCATCTCCAATTCGGTAGCAACTTGTTAAACCTCACTGTGTCTTGTAGGATTTTATTGTGTGAGAGGGGCCTATTTTCTTTTAATCTCTGCATAAGGAGAGGTCAGTATTGAATCAAACTTTTTGTGGCCTTCAAAAATAAGGAGGGAATCAAAGTATTCCAAAACATAAAGGTGTTATTCATTGTAGGTGTTCATGGCTGAAAAGCTATTGCTGCAAAAACCATTTATTGCAGAGTATATTTCATTCTGTTCCCTCTCCCTGGCTGATCTTGGATCATGAAAGAATTATAGTACTGTAATCTTACATTCTATTTTTAAGTATGGAAAAGTAGAAAATCCACTAGTGGCTTTAAATAGGGAGAATTCCTCTAACAGGGTGCAAAATATCAGGAATTATTCTTCTTTGTGAAGAATGAAACTTTTTTTTTTGTATGTGAAAATGCTTGGGTAGTCTGGTGGGGGGTCCAGTTGTCTGGCACCTACCATGTGTGTCCTTGAAAGTTTTTTACTTTCGGTTTTTCAAAAGCACTTTTTTCCTACTATTTTTCTAATCTTTCTTGGTGGTAGCTTGATCTTTATGTAGCTTGTTTCCAAGAGGTGGGTTCAACGTCCGTTGTAATTCAAAGATGGTCATTCGAGAGGTCCTAAGGTGGTTGAAAAGCAAATTGTGTTTTCAGTGCTAAACGTTTTCAGCTCTAAAACAGCGTTTTGCAATCTGGTTCCATAATTCCCCGTCAGCATGGCCATTGACTGGAAGTTACGGGACCTGCTATCCCACACACCTGGAAGGTCCCAGGTTTCAGGAGACTATGCTGAAGGGTCATTATCAGACAGTTGCTTTTTCACTTTTCCAACATTCAAAGTGCCAAGTCTGATGTATTTCTCAAAGGGCCAATTCAGTCCCTAGACTTTCCATCTCCTAACCATGGTTTAGGAATCAGCAGTGGACCACTCCTACGGAAATCCCACCCCCCAGCCATTGGTACTATTGCTCCAAAGATAACCAGGGTTACAGCCAGCTAGGATCTCATTCCTAAGCAGCTTTTCAAACTCTGGCTCAGAGTGAACCTTGTGTATCATTTTCCATGGTGGGTTTGGTCACAGCCATGATGGCCAACTGCAGTTGAGGAGCTGAGAGATAATACACATTCGCACTCAAGAGAAAACAGTGCAGGTGGTCCCACATCCAGTTCACAATCCTTTAAACATGAGTTAAAAGACGGGGAAATATTACATCTGCTCCAGCCCCAGGATCTCCTCCCTGTTTGAACTCAGTTTGAGCTTTGTTAAATCAGCTCTGGCGTTTCTTTCTCTGTCTGTTCTAAAGCTGCTCAAGCTCTGAACGGTTAATGTTCACGTATCTATATAGCTTTCTTTGAAGTCGGGCTACTTTCAAGTAAACTTCCCGCCAACCCCTTTGTTTCCTTTTGGTCTGTAAACTGAACTGTCAGAAAGGGACAGTATCCCTTTTAACATTCCTTGATTTAGGAGAAGCAGCCAGGGCTTCTTTTCAGTTGTCTTTGGAGTGGATTCCACAAGTGATGTTCTTGAGTCAAGAACACTTGCATGTGAGACTTTCTTCATCTGGATATTTCAGGATTTGGCACAGGAAATAAATAAAAGGCGCATTTAATTCCTTCCTCAGTGAGAGTTGGTAGAAGGTGAATTATAGGAACAAGAATAGATTGCTGACTGGTCAGTTGGGGAGAAAAGGTTGTTAAAATCAGTTATTTTCAATCAAAATATTTTAACTTCTTTGAGCAAGGGTGAGGCAGAGACACCTTCTTTTCCAAGCTCTTTCAAGGGGATACTGTCTCTTTAAACTTTGTTTAAACTTTGTTTAAAGTGCTTTGCTGTGGGTATCTTAAAAAACAACTTCTGACTAACTTTGACTCTTTAAACACTTGCTGCATGTTAATTTCAGCTGTTGCTGCTTTTCTTCCAAATTTTAACCCTTTCCCCAACATTCCTGTCAGTTTCAGTTGTTTGACCTTAGGGCCTTCTCCTGCCCACCCCCAGCCTCCCTAATTCATCTTTACCAGCCCTTTTAAACATTGTGGCAAAGGACACAAGCAACCTTATTTGCAATTAACTGTTGGAAAATCTCCCAGTCTGTTAAACTGCAAATTGGTTTCGCTTTTCCCTTGGGAAATCCTTTGTGAATCAGCACTGGGGTGAAGGGGTTCCTTTTTGCTGTCTATTTTTCTCCCCTCTGATGCCTTTTATTTCCACTCAGCATATCCTGTATGAATGTGCCTTTTTGAATCTGCTTTGATATCTCTTTTCTGCAAAGACTGACCTCTGCATGCTTCAATTCTGATGACTCCCTTTGAGCTCCTGTATATCATTCTCTTTTGTGATCTGTAAGTCCTGCTGTGTTTAAATAAATATTTATCTTGGCATATTTTGAAAATCTGAGCATGTGTGATTTTTCTTTTCCTTTCTTGTTTTTTGTTCTTGTTTTTTCTTTTGGAGGCCAATAACTGGCAGTCATAAGAAAAAGCATCTAAATCTTAAAGCAATGGTATCGCCTTCCATTGGAAAGGTGTCTCTCTCTCTCTCTCTCTCTCTCTTCTTTGGTGGCTGTCAGAGTGAGGTGGGGTGGGGAGATGGGGTACACTGGTATATTAGAACCTTGGTTTGTGGCTGAGGAATGAATTGTTTAGACGTGAGTTAGGACAGAGATAGAAGTTTTGCAGGGCCAAGTGTACCAAATTATGCATAATGGAGAAAGTGGGTGGTAAGGTATTTTAGTCCCTCTCTCTAGAACCCAGTGGGGCCATCCCATGGAGTGGATGGCTGGGAGATTCAACAGGTTAAATTATCTAGGTTAAATTATGCACTTGAAGGAATTGTGGGAACTGTGAAGCAGAGTGGCAAAAGGAACAATTCTAAATGTCATTTAAAAATTGACTTCTGAGAGAGAGAGACAGAGACAGAGAGAGATTGGCCCTAAACCAGCTCTCTGGTGACAGTCTGGACCGAGGTATCTCTCATTCTACCATAGCTCTGGGCTCTGCAAGGCGTTCTTGAAATTTTCTGAAAAGGAAGTGTGATATATGTAACTCCTTTCTGAGACCTGTTTGTGATTTGTAGGCTTCTGGCTTGGTCACATCATTCAGGGCTGAAAGACAGCATTTGCTCCTGTGTCACCCTTTCCCTTCCTTCCTGTCCTTCCTGGCTCTAGATCAGCTAGGGAAATTACCACGGATTTGTGTGTGCATTGATGCTGAAGAAAGCCCAGGGAAATTGCATTAAAAGGACAACTTAGCAAAGCTGCTAAACCTTATATAAGCAGCACTCAAAAATGTTTTCCCAAGGTTGCCTTGACAAGAAGGCTGGCTCCACCGGTGAGTGCCCTTCTCCCCTAACTGCTGCATTACTCTAGAATATTGTGGCAAACTTTAAAATGTCTTCCCAGACTAAGCCACCTGGTGACAGAGGCCAGTGGTGGCATTGCTGCCATGCCACTGGGACCTCAGCTGCTGCCTGAAGATGCTGGTCGCTGGTACCGCTGCTGTTGGCTAAAGCATTGGAAGAGCACCGTTACTGCCCTCCACCACCTTCTTTATGTGAAATCAGAATTTTTGTCGTTTGGAGCTCTGCCTTGCACTTAGGTCTTCAAGCAAGTTCCTTCCCTATTTATTGTCACCAGTTTGCCTTCTGGGAAATGAGTGTTCATAGCCATTTTGTGAGAGCACCCCTAACATACAGCATTCCACATATGCCCACCAACCCAGAACAGCTGGGAATGCCTGCTTTGACCCATCAGTATATTTGAATTATGTTTTGGTGCTTCCAATAACCTGGAAGATGATTTTGGCTGTTGCTTAAAAATGCATGCAGAAAATATATAAGTACTTAAGCACCCAATTAGCAGCAAGCACTCTCTGGATAGGTATCTCCTCTTCCGTGGTAACTCCCACAACACACATATGCATCCTCTAAAATCTAAATGTTGTGACCAGCCATGCCCGTCATGGTAGCCATTTTATGAATGAGGAAGCTCCATCCCCCATCTGTGAGCATGCCCACAAGAGTTCTCAACATTCCAGATGTTCTGGCTGGCATTAAAAGGATTGGGAATCTGCTATAGCCTGACAAAAAGCGAATTAGGGCCAGTGTTTTGCCACCCACCCCAATGGTGAATTTTAGCTGAAATGAAGTGTTTTGTGCCTGCCTAAACCACATAACAATCAGGTGAGTATCAATGCATCTGTAATTGTTTCAGGACTGAATTATCCTTCCCAGGATAACCTGCCAGGTGAAACCTGCCCTTATGGTCATGTTCTCCTCTTAGAAGCCTCCTAAAAATACATTTAAAACATTAAAAGAAAATAAATCTTGGATATTCCCTTATGTGCGAGCATTCATATTTAATCCCCAAAGTATTCTGTGCAAAAATCGATATGTGTGTATTGTATGGAGGCTTGCAAGGGTCATCTCTGTACAATCCCCTGATAGCTGTTGCAAACTGAATTCAGCTCTCAGGCTGAAAGAAGTTCCCCACCCTTGTCCTCACACAGAATTGAAGATCAGCACCCAGGAAAACCCAGTGGAAAACATCTGTCTTAGCTTCTGTGAAGCTCCTACATGGAGACAGGCGGGGAGGGTGTTCTGTAGTTTTGGTGCCACGACAAAGCCCTTTCTCCTTGACCCTCCCCAATGTATGTTAAATTGCCAACGTCCATGGAGAAGGGCTTGGGGGTTGATCTCCTTGTGTGGGTGAAAGGAGAGGAGTCTTGAAATGCGTTAGTGCATGCTAATTTGGTACCATGTTCTTTGGATTCACCTGGAAGGTTGGCTGCTACCATTCTTAACTGTTGGACTTTTGATCCTCTTTTTAGATGTTGATGACTTGAAATGTGCCCCTTTTGGAAGCTGTAGCAATGGCTCTGCTCTAAGTAGCTTCCCAAGCTATGATTGGTCTGAAAAGGAAGACATCTACTCAAGTAAGAAGTCTACCTCCTTTTCCATTCCTCCAGGAAGTGGATCCTCCTTGGCTACCTCAGTCCTCCAGAAGAAGGAGACTTTCTTTGGCAGCTCAGAAAATATCACCATGACCACTGTTTCCAAAGTGACAACCTTTGCTAGTGAGGATGCTCTTCAGGATGGGAAGTTTTTGCCCTGCACAGACTTCAAAGATTCTGAACCTCGGTCTGCGGACCAGAGTGATGATGATGTCGAAGACTTTGGAGAGTTTGCACGGCCTTTGGGAGAGACATGTGAGAAATTCGCCACTGGTACGATCCAAGAGGCTGGATCAGCTGGTGTCTCCTTGGAAACCTCCAAAGAAAGCACAGATGACTTTGGGGAGTTTCAGAGTGAAAAGCCAAAGATCACCAAGTTCGACTTCTTGCTGGCAACTTCCCAAGGGAAAGTAAAGTCGAGTGAGGAGATGATCAGGAGTGAGCTTGCAACCTTTGATCTCTCTGTTCAAGGTGAGTGCCTTCATTGTTGGTTGGTTGTACCACCCAATAAGCAGCAGAGGTGGGAGAGTCTAGGTTGCTTTTGAATTCACAGAGAAAAGAACCCAAGAATATCCCTGTGCCAAGTAGAGCTGTCACCCAAATTAACAAACCTTAGCTTGGTTTTAATTTTCTGGATTTTTATTAGGGCTGCAATGTTAAATTAATTTACTGGTTAGGTTAATCCTGAGGTTTCCAGTTGGGTATCCATTGGGACCTGTGTGCTCACAGATACCTTTCATAGTGATCTCTGCCCCTCCTAATTTTTATGTGATTTTTGGCAATTTATATCTTTTAAAATCTTGACTCTGACATGCTTCAAAGTCGAGCTCTGTCCTTCAGCATCATCCTTATTTGAGTTATAATCAGGTGTTAAAATCAGGTCTTGAAAAATCTGTGAAACAGGATCGTTTTTGCTCGACACCAAAATGAAAGTAGAGATGGTGCCAGGAGACCTCTTTCGGAAGCCCATTCCAAAGGTTGGGGGCAGCCAGTGAGAAGGCCCTTCCACTTGGCAAATCATCGATCTTGGGAGGTCTGTGAGAGCAAAGGTTACGCTGGGGATGGAAGGAAGCCTGTTGGTAGTTAGGGAAGGTCACACTGGCCTTCCATGAGGACACAGGTTGCTGCTTTTGCAAAGTCAGACGCGCAGTACATCTGGCCTAGGATTGTCATCGCTGATGGCAGCAGCTCTCCTGGCCTTCAGGCAGGATTCTTCTTAAACCTTAAACCCTGGCATTGAACCAGGGACCTTCTGCATGCCAAGCAGATACTCCCATCGCTGAGGTGCAGCCCCTTCCAATTGCCTGCCCCATCCCTGCACACTTGCAAACTTGTCCTCTTGACTGTTACTGCAAGGAACTTAATGTTTGAGCCGAAATCCAGATCGGCAGGGACTGGGGTTCCACCTTGCAATGCAACGTGGCCCATCTGTCTCTTCGCTCTCATATGTCATTGAGGTGCACCGCACCATCATCCTGACTTGAAATGTTGTATTTTCTTTCAGGATCTCACAAAAGGAGTCTGAGTTTGGGTGATAGGGAGATCAGTCGCTCCTCGCCTTTGCCACCTGTGGAGCAACCCTTTCGAGATCGGTCAAATACTCTCAGTGAGAAGCCTGCCCTGCCTGTCATTCGAGACAAATACAAGGATCTTACAGGGGAAGTTGAGGTAAGGAGTGAGGTTAATAACCAGGAGAGATTCAGCAAAAATGGCATGTCTTGGAAAATGGGTATAGCAAGACGTTTAGCTAAGAAGCTGCATCCTGGCCACTTGCACGGCTGGCCCATACAGAATCACGTGATACAGTATGCCTGGACTGTTACCTCTTTAGACTGCAGATGTGACACATTTCTTGATCTTTCTTTCTGTACCGCATTGTGTAATTCTCAGAATTTTTTATTCTTAAAAAATAAGAATGGTGCAAAACAAAAGCAAGATAAAACCAACAGCTAAACAGTAAGTCTGTTCCAGCAAGCAAAACCAAATTAAAATCAGCATCATGAAAGTAGCACTAGCAAGAGTTCTTAGTATGCCTAGAATGCTGCTGCCACAGGCAGGATGCCGTCGCTAAAGGGGCCCTCTCTCTCTCTCTGCCTTGTTTGTCAAGGATGCCTGAAAGAGCCTCAGATGCTCTTGGTGATCTTAGACGCATCACTGCTGAAGAAACCCCTCTTAGATAATGACAGTTGAAAGGGCTGCAGGGAGTTGTCTCTTTTATTTTGGGACAGGGAAGGATTTGGAGAACCGAGGCTTCCCCCACCTGCCGACTGATGTGACGGAATCTCAGGAAGGACTGGGCATTTGGTTGTGCTAAATGGGTAGCACAGTCCTTTGGGGTGCCCCTTGCATGCTTTTGATCCCCGGCCATGAGACACATGGGGCACTGTTGCCCACCTTGGTCTCCCCTCATTTTGCATTCCCAACCAGAAATCGCTATCCTTGTAACTTTCCACTCAGCCCCAGAGAGAGTCAGGTGGAAGACCCCTGCATCTTTCTGGAAGTCTTCTGTATGTTTTGACTACATTTATGCAGGGAAAGTAAGGGGGTGTGTGTGGTTGCGCACGCATGTAACTATAGACATAAACCAGCTGGAACTCTGCCAAATCCTCTCCCTTATTCTTACCCATCTAGGAAAGTGAGAGATATGCTTATGAATGGCAGAGATGCTTAGAAAGTGCCCTCCAAGTAAGTATGTTTTTGCTTTTCTTCTTCTTTTCATATCTGTTGCTTTCCCCAACTGTGAGCATGCAGCGGATTATTTTCAAGAAAAAAAATTGTCTTTTTAAGACTCGGTAGTAGTTTGCCACTGGATTGTGGCTTACTGTATGTGTGTGTGCATTGATGAGCCAGAAGCATGGCTTGCAGAAGGTCCAGGCAGGGGCTGAAGTGGCCCCTGCTTCCTCCAAACTCGTCCGCCCCTGTTTTAAACAATAAAAAGCAGGCAGGCAGTGTGTGGGTGTGTGAGGGGAAAGGCTCCGCTGAGCCAGCATTTGACTGTGCATTGCGCACGTGTATAAGTAGTGAATTCTGTAGTTCAGCATGTGCCACAGGTGAAGCCCCAGCTTTGACCTCTGGGAAAGCAAGCAAGCAAGCAAGCTTGCCTGTCACCTCAAAGGAGAAGTTTGTGTGCTTCTCATAGAGTCTACTTGGAAAGCTGCTTTCTGCCAAGTCAGGCCTAGAACTGCTATGGAAACCAATGAAGTAACAATAAAAACAAATTGTTATAAAATAAAATGAGATTTTCTATATTCATCAGATCATACTCACGGAAGCCTTTTCTCACCTGCTGTTCTAGGTGGATTGGTTACACGGTTGTAAGATATCGTGCAATCTTGCCCAGCCCGACACCCTCCAGATGTGCTGGTCTGCAATTCCCAGCATTCCAGCATTGTTGGCCATGCTGGCCACACATCTGGAGGGCAACAGGTTGGGGAAGGCTGGTATAATGTGTAGTTCCAGGATGCAGGAACTTTGGTGAAGCTAAATAAGTCTGGTTCTGGTCGGTATGCAGATGAGAGACTGACTGGGGGAACCGTTGTACACACCATTTTCTATTCAGTGGGAAAAAAGTGGAATAGAAGCATCCTAAATAAATCTTTGCCCTACAAAGGTCATCAGGAAGGCCAATGATACCCTGAACGGAATCAGCAGTTCATCTGTGTGCACAGAAGTAATCCAGTCTGCACAAGGCATGGAATATTTATTAGGTAAGATCTTTATTTTCCATCTTTCATTAAAGTGAGGAAGTAATAAAAATTAAAACTGTCCAAAGTGCTGGCTCATGGCCATTTCTCAAGAATAGAGCAAAAGTAAGCAGAGAGGTAATCCTGCTGATATCCTCTTAACTTTTGTCCACCCATTCTGTGTGCCTGATCAGCGCATAGGTCAAGAATTCACTGCTTTTCTCTTTTTCAAGAGGGCTGGCCTAGATAGGAAGCGGGTGAACTCTCTTGTAGAATGTAACAATTTGCATTTGAAAGTTCACCTTTTTTGATAGCAAAAACGTTATACTGGAATTGGATGGCCAATATAATTCTTCCAGAGTTTGATCTGCAAGCAGAATCCAGAAGGAACTCGGTGACAAACGATGGGAAAGATTCTCTGTCTAAGGCTCTGCAGACAAAGGAAACTGTGCTGGGCCAGAGAGACAAATAGTCTATTGTGGCAGAAGACTGCATTTACAGATACAGCTTGGGAAAAATTATCTGGCTAATCCTTGCAAATGCTAGGTTTCTTGAATGGTTTGACTGCAAAAAATTATCTTGGAAGAGGCCTGAACTTGTATGTGTGGCCTAATGAGGGTAATCAGGTTGGACCAAAGTATCAGCCGGCAGAAAATTGTTGGCAACATTGAGGGGGGATGTTAGGAGGGTGCATAGAATTCTCTCTGCAAAGCTTCCCCATGTGCCTCCAGGCTCCTATCTTCTGTGACACACAGAATAATCGCCATTTTGTTTTTCCACCTCTAGTGTTACAAGTCAGAGGTAGAAAGTTAGGCAAGAACCTAGGCAGCTAGGCTAGGGCTATACGGCATGGTCCAGATGTTCTGGCCTCCAGATCCCTTCAGCCCTAACCAACATAGGAGAGTCAGTGGGGCGTCGTGGTGAAGAGCATGAGACTGGGACTCAGAGGATCTGGGTTTGAGTCCCCGCTCAGCCATGGAGCCAACTGGGTGGCTTTGGGCCAGTCACAGACTCTCAGCCCAACCTACCTCACAGGGTTGTTGTTGTGGGGACAAGATGGAGGAGGAGATGTAAGCTGCCTTGAGCCCTTTGTAGGAAAAAGGCAGGATATAAATCACAATATAAATAAAATAAATGATGCACAATGTAGGCGGAAACATCTGGAGCACCACAGGTTGTCCATTCCTGGCCTAGGCAGTGCAGGGACCCCTTTCTTTAATCTGGCTTTGCTCTGGTAGAGCAGCAGGTATATTTCACCTATGTGTGCTTGTACACACACATGTGCTGGCATCACTGAGGGATGGGATGGAGCATTTTCAGGACTTGTAGACAAAGCTTGAAAATGAGTGCATTGGTTTCAGCATGGCTCTGGCGAAGAGATTGTTCAGAGCAGCAAAGTGCATATACAACAAAAGCAGTGAATGCTCCCTTGTTGCTGCTTGTAGTATGGGAGCTTTCCTAAAGAGTTGTCTCACAGCTGCGTGACCTCGCGACTCTTCCTCAATTTCATAACAGGGGTCGTCGAGGTTTATAGAGTCACGAAACGGGTTGAGCTGGGCATCAAGGCGACGGCAGTCTGTAGCGAGAAGCTGCAGCTACTGCTGAAGGACATCGATAAAGTGTGGAACAACTTGATTGGCTTCATGTCGCTCGCCGCTTTAACGGTAAGGTGCTTCATTTATATTTTGTTTGCGTATCCACATAGCTCGCACCACCTTGTTTGCTGGAAAGCCTTCGAGGCAAGATAGAGCCATTTAAAGCAATTAAATCCCGAGACACTTAAAAAAACCTGGAGCATTGAAAACAGCAAAGCATCAAAATATTAAAGATCCGTCATTTTAAAGTCTAAGGGTGCAATCCAATGCGTGGTTAGACAGAATAAGTCATGCAGCTCTCAGCATTCCTCAGCAGGCATGGCCTCGTGTCTAAACTTGCACAGGATTGCACCTGTAACAGATCAGATGCACCCTCCCTGCACACACAAATACGCTGCTCTTTATAAAAGCCAGGTGAGTTGCAATTCCAGTTTTAGGATGAGGTGGAAGAAAGCACTTCCACACGTCTCCAGCAAAGAGGGCTCTGCGGGTGACGATGCCCTCAAAAGGGCCTCTCCAGCAGATCTCAACACCCAGGCAGGTTCTCAGTGAGACAGGTGTCCCCTTTGATGGCCCCGTCCAGAGCCATTTAGGGCTCTGAAGGTTGAAGCTGGATTCAGCCTGGAAAGCAAGGGGCGACCTGTGCAGCTCTTTCGAGACAAATGTGGCACAGTCTGGGCACGGTGCTTTGCTGCCACATCTTGCACCAGCTGTAGCTTCCAGACACTCTCCAAGGGTAGCCCCTCACAGAACACAGTGCAGTATTCTAAACATGATGTAATCAAAGCACAGGTATCTGTGGCCACCTGCTTTCCGACAGCTACTTTGTATTAGATTTGTTTGCCCGTACAAAAGGTTGGTAAGCGAGTATAACTTAGTTGTTACACCACCGGCATTCTGTGCAGGAATTCCCAGGTTCAGTTCCTGATAGCATCTGGGAAGGTGTAGTTTGAAGGAAAGGCAAATGAAGGGGGGCATGAAAAAGAAGTACAACATTGCATTGTATGGAGAAAGTGTATAGGGAGACATTTTTATTCCGCTCTCATAGTACTAGAACACAGTGAGGTCAGCCTATGAAGCTGAGGGAGATTTAGAGCAAATCAAAGACTTCTTAGTGCAAAATTACACTCTGGACTTCCATCCTGCAAGATGTACTGATAGCCACCAGTTCGGATGGCTTTAAAATGGATTGGATAAATTCAAGCAGGAGAAATCTATCCACAATGACTAGTCCTGACTGCTACGTGCTCCCTCCAGTATTGAAGACAGTACACGCGTGCACATCAGTTGCTGGGGAACATGGGCAAGAGGGTACTGCTGCTCTCATATTTTGTTTGTGGATTTCTCATGGGCAGCTGCTTGGCCATGGTGTGATCCAAATGGTGAATTAGATGGCCTGATTCAGCGTGGCTTTTTCTAATGTCCGTAGGGAGAGATACTGCCAGGCAGAGGAGACAGTACTGGGGTGGAAGGACCATACTCTACCCCAGTATAAGGCTCTTTCCTGTGATCCTGTGAACATTTGCTGCTTTCCTCTCTCCCATTTCTCCTGCAGCCTGATGAAAACTCACTGGATTTCTCCTCTTGCATGCTTCGCCCAGGAATTAAAAACGCCCAGGACCTGGCCTGTGGGGTCTGTCTGTTAAATGTAAATTCCCGAAGCAAAGTAAGTGGAGAGAATACCGCTCTTGCTTTCACAGTTGCTTGTTTTGTTGTTGTTGTTGTGTTTACTCCACTAATTTTAAGTCACTTGGAGCTTCAGAGATGGTTGTCGAAGCATGCTTAAGGGGAAAAGGCCACGTCGCAGGCTTTCTAATGCTCTGTGGCCCTCCTAATTCATACAGCACTTCTTTGCAGTGGTCCACCAACCTGGGTGAAGTTGCCCATCACCCTAGAGGGGCCTGCTGAGCCACAAGCACAAGTCCCTTGGCCAGAGGGGAACCAGGAGGGAGGGAACAACATTTTGTCCAAAAGTAAAAGCATACACGGTTTCCAAGTGATTGCAGATCAGATCTCAGGGTGGATTTCAGTAGGGAAATCCCCTGGAGCCATCTCACGATCCATATTTAGCATGCCAAGCTGGAAGGAGGGACCAGGTGAGCTCACCTGTCACAGCAGCCTCATGGCACCACTATATGGCAGATGAGTTCTCCCACCATTCACTTTCACTGCCGTCATAAAGTGATACTTTATTTAACCTGGTCTTTTTACCTAAGGTGATTAGGTGTCCAACTTAAGACTCGTTTCAAAGCATTGTCCAGCAATAAATCTAGGAACTCACACAGCTAGTTCACGATACAGATAAGCTTGCTGATAAAATAGTCGATTAACGCCATGCGCAAATACCTGAGGGACATTTTCCAAGGACCAGACGGAAAGAGTCAAGAGTCCAGTCCAAAGTTTGAGGTAAACTATTCAGTCAGTCCCGTTGTCCGCAGAGGTTCAGCATCAGGGTTTGGTCCACACAGTCTGGCATGGAGGTTCAGTCAAATAAGGAGGGCAAGGGGCCTAAGAGGCAAACCTTGGTTCCAGCTAGTTCACTGGAATGCAGGTAAGTCCTTATCTGGATGCTGGTTGGCTGCTCCCGTGCTTCCTGCCGCAGCTAAGTGACAGGGGCCTGGCATGCGAGGGAAAGACCCTCATTCTCCTTTTCAAGCGTTTTCGGGGTCTGGGTGGTCTTCCCATCTCTCACTCAGATAAGAGACAGACTCCCCCTGTTCAGCCTTGGGTGCTCTGCCTTCTCATTGGCTGCCAGCGTGTCTCACTCCGGGTGCCTGATTCTGCCTTACCTGCAGGAGCCAGCACATCCCTGCAGCCAGGTATGTTGAGCTGCTCCTCAGAGGTCTCCTCATTGCATGTCTTAGTAGGCATGCGACAAAAAGATTGGAAGCACAAGGAAACAGCAAAAACATAGAGGGTTTTTTTTTTAATTTAAAATGGAATAAAACAAGAGAGTGTGTTATTTATGATTGCTATTACCTTAAAAATCAGGTTCCTATGTTATTCCTGTTATCACCAATCAGCTACAGTTCCTAATGCCAACCAAGCACGAACCAATTCCCCTATTTAGCTCCTTCCCAGTTTTAACCCACAGGCCTCGCAAGCAGGCCTTGTTATTCTAGGAAGGCTGCCGTCCACTGGAGACCTTGGACCCTGGGCTGCTCTGCTGTGTAGACTGGGCCCTCGGCTTGGCTGCCTCCGAAACTCAGGGGTTGGTGGGATAGATGTCAGAAAAGCAGTGCAGAGAACCCGGAAACAGGAAGGTTGCCAGCCTTTTGTCCATGGTGTTGACCCTGTTTTGATTTCGACGTTTTCAGAGAGAAGAGAAGCCTGCAGAAGACCATCCTAGAGAAGTATGGACATATAGAAGCTTTTTTTTTTTCTTCTTATTGTGTGTCCACAGTGCCACGTGTGGTAGCGGGAAAAGTTGCCATCTTCTACTGCACGCAGCCACGGTTTCTGTGTGTGTCTCTCTAACCGCTCGACTCTAATCAACTAATCAGCCCCAGCGTGGCTTGAGCTCTTTGTCTTAGTGGCATGCCTTGTTAATTTGTGGAGTCACTTTGCGTTCTGGTGGGATGTGTGTGTTTTGTGTTGTGGTATGGTGTGGTGGTCAATTGTTTTGGTAGTCAGTCCTGCCTAGCCATTCTTGTATGTCTGCTGTGTCAGGGGATCTCAGCCCAAATCTGTGTTGTGTGACAAGAAGTAAAGGCCTTTTCCAATGGCGAAAAAGAGGAGGAGGAACTCTGGGGGTCATGTTCTCTTCTTAAGGTCTAGACTTGAGTTTTGTTAACAGCATTCTTTCGGGAAAGGGGAAGGATGCCCTGAATTGGTTGGACTCCTGTCCCCCAATACTCCATATGAGATTGGTGGGAACATGATCAGAATATGAAGCTAGATTTTCCAACCTCTTGCAATGTTTTACTGGCACAAAAAGAGATTTAGTGTGCACAGTTGTGGGAGCGGGAGGATGCAAACGTTTTCTCACTGGTCTCAAGGCACAGCTTTTTGACACTCCCAGTTTTAGCCAAAATATGACCCCTCCCCTGTTGCTTTCTGAAGCCCGTCACCAAAGGACATGTGGCATCAAATGTGTTTGATCCCATCTGTTTTCGTGTCTTCAGTGTCAGTATGCAGACCCCCAGATTCAGAGTGCCACGTGTAGGCACTTTGTGGAAATTTCTGAAATGTTTCTCCCAATGGTTAATTCCGGGCTGCAAGAAGTTCAGGGCGAAATAGGCTGAGATTCTGGTGCTGCTCCTTTTTTGCGTTTGGCTTGACTGCAGCCCCAAAGAGTGTCTTCAGGAGTGCGTTTGACCCTCGGGCAGGGAGAGGTCTGCCCCCAAGCAGCACGGCGAGGCACCCCCGCCCCCGGGGCCCCCACCCTGGCCCACCACCATCCGTCTCTCACGCTCTGCTCCTCCCCCCCAGGCCTTCAACTCAGAAACGGACAACTTCAAGCTTGCCTACGGAGGACACCAGTACCATGCCAGCTGCGCCAACTTCTGGATCAACTGTGTGGAACCCAAACCCCCCGGCCTCATCCTGCCCGACCTGCTTTAAGCGGATTTCAGTCAAAGTCATCTTGGTCTCGACAGGGAGCTACTGATTCACTGGACAAGGGGTGAGGGTGGAAGAGGCTAGTCAGCAAGTACTTTTGGAAACTCTCCTGAGCCTAGTGGTTAGAGTATTTATGACATGATTGTTTTAGGTGAGAATCTTACCTTGAAAGGGTGGAAGCCACTATTTTTTTTAATCTACAAGTTTCTTGTGAAGGACTTGGCAAGGGTTGGAAATACCCACTGATCTTTGAAATTTTGCACTGAGGCCCAAAGCTGCATTTCACGAGCGGCGTTCATCCAGTCTCTTTCAGGTGTGGCAAATTGCTGTTCTTTTACTGAGGGCCTGGTGGAGGCCCCAAACGCCCCTCTTCCCCCTTTGCCTCTCAGGGGTTACGGAAATGGCTCCATCCCCCGCCATGGAAAGTCAAAGGGAGTTAGGTTGCTAGGTTTGATCTGGGGTGGTCGGTGGTTGCGTGCTGTTCGACGATTCCCCATTTCTGGACCTGCCTTTGTGCTTTTAAAATGAGCTTAACTGTCCTAGATTCCCTCTTCCTCTGCGTCCCCCTCCCCCAGCCCACCTGGAAAATTGCTCTTTCCCGAACAAACCTGCTGGCGGTCGTTCTCAGGCCCATCACAGTCTGTTCATGGTGCTTGGGTTGCCAGTGAAGAGATAGGCCGTGGCTCTTTTATGGTCCTGCAGACCTGTCCATAATAATTCAGGCTCTGTGTTTTAAGAATAAGGTGTCCCAAGAGGGCAGTATGGAATATTAACAGGAAAAATGTGCATTTAGGGAGGGGAAGGGGTGGCTTTGTGGAGTGAAGTGTGCCTTTTCCAAATGGGCATTACCACTATCAGCGAGTTGCTAAGCTTGCTGCAAGCAAAGAGAGCCTCGTGTAGGTGTGAACAAAACCAGCGGCCTTCTAGATGGCATTGGGCAATAACTCCCCATCAGTCTCAGCCAACGTGCACCATTGCCAGAGTGATGGGGGTTGTAGTCCAGCAGCATCTGGAGGGCCATTGGTTCCCCTGCCTTGATTCAATGGTCATATCTGAAACTCATGCCAGTAGAAACCCTCTTCTTGGGAACATTTAATCTGTTAAGGGAGTACCTTGTATTGTCTTGTGGCTTAGATTATAAGAGATGTAGTGAAGCAGCACAGGCGGTTGCTTTTACTGCTGTAGCGCAGCACTGAAATTGAATGGGGCTTTTTAACGAGGCTTAATGAAGCAGGAGCCCAGATTGTAGCATTAAAAAGTGGGTAATTTCAACTTTTCAGAAACTGGCCTCCAGTGTCCCTTCTTGCTTTGACTCCAGCCAGTTTGAAGGTTAACTTTACTCAGTGTTCTTCAGTGCCTGGCATCAATCTGTTACGGCCACTTGACACTCTGAGAACAAGTGATGTCCCATTCCCAACATGCTGGGCTTGGGAATCAGCAGCTTTTCCCATTCTTTCTTATTCCGCATCGAGAACATTGCATAAAGCTGGTCCATGTGAGGGGATGTCAGAAAGGTTTCTCCCAGTGCCCCTGTGTGCACATGTTTCCCATGTGCCTAGCTGTGCGTCTCCTCCACTGAAAACTGAGCATGCCCTGAAGACTGGAATCGGGAGTGCCAGACTTACAATATGAAAATCCCAGCAAGAGTGAGTCCTAGGGAATATTCATGGCATGTGAGATTTGGATTCTCACTTTGGAGCAGCAGGTGCTGGAGTATATCTGTATGTCTTTTTAGCATGTGGTGCATTATTTCCTCTGGATTCTTTCTCTTGTGGTCGACAGTAGACCCCTCCCTAAGCACTAGTTGGACATCATAAATACCTGCTGTCACCATACCAGGGCGTTCAGATAACGCATTCATAATCAGCTTGTAGTGACTGTCATCCTCCAGAGTGACCCAGAATGCACACTTTTGTCATCCTAAGTGACAAGAGCAGCCTTCTTCAATCTGACTGGCTCTGGGTGCGGCGAGCAGTAAATCCAACACATCTGAAAAAATGTCAGGTTTTGTTTGATTTCATCGCTAGACTGCCTCATATCCAAAGCTCCTTGGGTGTACCACAAAAAATTCAACCCCAGTGCACAACATGGTAAAAACTCTTAAAAATACAATGTTTAAAAGCAACATCAAACAGCTAAAAATGTTTGCATTAAGAAACCGGGACCTGAAAAAGCAAGGGACGCTAAAAGCTGAACTAAGTGGACGACTCAGAAGACTCTGACCTCACCCCTCACATCAGCCTTGGAAAGCGACGGCACCGAGGCATCTGCTTCTGTGCAAGCTAGAGACAACCCAGCACTTCACCCCTGCTCTCAGGTGTGTAGAAGAAAGAAGCTTGATCTCACACCCATGTGCGGATCCTGAATGGAGGCCGTGGTGGAAGCTGCGTGTTGCTGATCGGCAGCACTTTTCTTGGAGAAGCTAAACTGGCTGCTGGAGGGTCAGCTAGAGACCCACACGAGGCATCAGTGGACTCAGCTTGCTTAAATGGTAGAACATGAGACAATTTCTTGCATGCGCTGACTCAGACCGATATGTACCTAACAGGGCAAGGGGGACCCTTTATTTACAGCTCCTGCACGAATACGTCAGCATTTATTTTAACCTCATTCCATTAGGCATCGAAGAGCTGAGGTGAGCATTCACGGCGGGGACTGTCCGGAGAGCCATTCCAAGAAGCACATTGATGTTTTGGGCTCCGGTTTCCTCTAGGAATAACGCCTTTTGGCCTGTTATTCCAGGCTCCGAGGAGATATTGGAGAGGGAGCCAAGGGTCTCCAATCAAATTACAGTGGAGCGTATTAAACTGCGACTGTGGCGAGAGCCAGGGCAGATAACAAGAGCAGAAAATAGCCAGCCAGCTTCTCCAAACAGCGTAGCCTCTACCAAAAGAAAGGGAAATGATGTGAAACAAAGCACTTTTCTTTTGTGTTCTCAAGCTCTAAACAATTTCACTTTTTTTAACTAGTGAAAGGCTGTTGTTTTGTTGTGGTGGGCACAGAGAAAAGGAGAAAGGAGAGGTATTTTCGCCTTACCATGCCCCTCATTAAACAAAAAACAAAAAAACAGGATTGCGCTCTCTCATCCCTTCTGCTATTATTCTGTTAGCCTAGGGCCCTGGTGTCCTTGGAAACTGTATCCAAGGTTACAGTATGTTCCCAGACTTCATTGTGTTGGGCTTTGCTTTTTCATCTTCTGGTTTTGACTGCCGGTTTCCCAGCCAGGCAAAGGGTTTTCCAAGCCTAACCCCTCCCTCCTCCTCTTTGCTTTAAAATGCATGCACTTTTTTTCCATGGGTGGGATATCAGCACCCCACTGAAGTGTTGTTGTTTTGGCTGGTGCTGTCGCTTTGTTTTTAAATGTGCAGGTGTGGAGTCTTGCAAGTTGTGCGCTGCCTGCCCGAGCAGCGTCCCTTTTCTCTTTTGGGGTTCACTGCAGCTTTTCCTTGCATCTGCTTTTAGAAAGTGTGGTAGCCCTTGGGCTCTGCCGGTTCCTAAATGATGCCCTTGCCCCATGTCCATTTCCTTGCGTCAGTCACAGTGCGCCTCTAAAGGGTGGGTCAGAAGGACCCAAAGTGGCACGTGGCGGGAATCCGAACTTAACGTTCGGGACCTTCCGTGTCACAGACCCACAAAGGCTGCATGTGATCGCGGAGCTGCCTTTATCCAACCCGTTACGGTGGGCATTGATTACTCTGGCCTGCAGGCATGTGGGCAGCGTAACCACCAGACTGGGCTCTCTGCAGCCATTTTGTTGGCTTTTATAGGACCAGAACATATTTCATGCACTGGCGGCCAGATCGGGGTTGGGACAAGGTACCAAAAAGAACTGGGGCCCCAGCTCCCAGGACCAAAGACATGCACAGAGGTGCAGATGCTAATTCACGTGTTTCCTAAAGCCTCTCTCTGCATATGTTTCTTTACCAGAAGCCTGTCTCCTAAGGGCACCCCTATTTTTGAAAAAGGGATGTATGGATAGAGGAGTGGAAAGCTTTTGACTTCAGGGGAGAAAGTTCAGGCGGCAAGAACTGCAGCACGTGCAGGCAAAGAGCTGGCTGATCTGGGGCGCCGGTCCAGCAGTGGTCATCAGGGCCCCTGGACTTCTCTTCCCCTGTGCAGCGACAGCAGGATGGCACTTCTCAGAGACGTGGGCTCTCGAGAGACATGGGGCTTCAGCCCTAGTGGGCTGCCCCATAACAGGATGCCTGGATCCCCATGGCACCACAACGTAACTCGCTGTTTCTTGAGTTCTCTCTCACTCTCAAGGAGCGCAGGAGAGCGTCTTCAAAGCCTCCTCCGCTCCCTGTGCAGCCCTCGGAAAGACGGACAAGAAGGGCCCCCCACAGGGGTGTTGTCCAACCGTGTGCAGGATCGGTACCACAGTGGCCTGCGCAGAGACGGCTAGTCACACGCGCCTCACTGAAAGTGAGCAGCAGTTTCATTGCAGCAAAGTGCCGGTAGCTTTCAAGGGCCTCCTTTGTTTTGGAGCAGGCCCGTATCTTCCCAAGGTGCAAGGATGTGCCCCTTTTTTAAGGCTAAGGGGGGATTTTGGGGGAGGAGGGAAAAAGTTCTTCGGCAAACCATTCCTGTAAATATTCAGGCTCACTCTCTTTAAGTCCCTGGGAATCCACACATGTGGGCGAGTTTGGAAGGTTTTGCCGGAGAGCAGCATTTTGGCAGGTGCCTTCTTGCTCCTGTGCGCGCTCCTAGTGGACTTTCTGCTGGACTCGGTTCCTTTTTCTGCGTTGTAACGGCAGAGGAAAAGTATCCCCTTGGAAACATGGCTGTATCATTGGCATGTCAAGGGGACTGGGTATGAAGGTTTGCCCTGTCACCCCCTCTCCCAAAAAGAAAGCCCGTGTGATGTAGTGGTTCAGAGCTTGGGACTTAGGTGGTCTGGGTTCTAGTTCCCACTCAGCTTTGGAGCCACCTGGGTGACTTCAGGCCAGTCACAGGCTCTCAGCCCAGCCTACCTCACAAGGTGGTTGTTGGGGGAACAAGACTGAGAAAAGGCAGAGAATGATGTAAGCCACTTTGAGTTCTTTACGAAAGAAAAAGGCAGGCTATTCATCTAATTAAATAAAATTAAAGCTGGTGTGGCATTACTACCTTAGCTTGTATAAATGCTATGCTTTCTATTATTTAATTCAGTTTTTTAGTGGATTAAAAATGTTGTGTAGGTTCAAAAAGAGCTGCATCATTGTGAATGCTTTCCCCCCCCTTTAAAGTGTGTGTGTACCTTCCATCGCTGTCTCAGCTGCCTCTGGAATGCCTTTGTGGTTGGCATGGCTGTGATTTAATGCCTGGTTTTACTTGGTCATGTGGTGTTGCTGATACCTTTTAAAAGAGGAGGTGAATGAGACTCTCCCTTTGAAAAAGCTGGATTTATTTTGCTTGAAGTGGTGTACAAACCCCGTATTGATCCCTGTGAAATCCCGAATAAAATACTCTCTCCTTTTCCCACCCCATTTTTACTTTATAAAAAGGCGGTGTGGTCAGTTGTTGAAGTTTAATAAAACCTCAAATGAATATTTAATTTCTTCCTTCTAATGCTACAGCACAGAGCCATTTAACACACCTGGAACCATCAAAGGCCTAAGGGAACTGTATTCTGCTGGGAGGGTTTTAAAGGGCGGCGGGGGGGGGGGCGGTTGGCAGGGGGACTAACATTTTTTTGGTATTTAGCAGCCAGGTCGTTTTAGACCATGGACAGAATAGAAGAGCGTGTGTGTAAAAGAGGTTTAAGGCACACAGAAAACATTTTGCCTTGCTCCGCACAACCTCCGTTCTGTGATTTGTAACAGCTCCGGTATTCCTGATATGTGGCTGCTGGATCCCGTATTAGTGGAAACGTGTATCCACTCCAGGCTTCAGCCTGAAGTTTAAAAGGAGCTGTCCTTGGTGTATTTGATGTATTTGGACAAGGGAAAGGTAAGGAACAAGAAAAACAGATAAGTGAGCAAAGGTAGCAAGTAGAAACCTAGAAACATGAAGGAATGAGCCTAGTACAGTGAGGAACATTTGGGTCATGGAGGAGTTGGCAGTGATCTTCAGAAGAAGAGAGGAGAGTTGGCCCCTTTAGAAACTTTCCTTGTAAGCCGCCTTATTCTTACTACATTATATAATGTATTATTATGATATATATATTACATTATTATATTATAATAATTATTATTACTATACTGCCCAATCACCAGTCAGAGCTCTCTTGTTGGATCCCAGCCATTTATCAGAAGGACAATAATATTTGGAATATTATCCCACGACCATGCTAGGAGGATGGGGCACTCGGTTTCCAGCTTGTGCTGTTAAAATTTATGCATTTATTTAAAGCTTTTATAGACCATCCCATCAGTAGCATCGGGACGGTTTACAGCAAATGACCAATGTGTGGCATTTGGTCCCGCTCAAAGCCCCACACCCGCCTCTTTCTCTCTCTCTTTCAAATTGGAGGCCAGTATTCCTCCCCTGCCCAGTTACTGGCACTGGGGCCGGAATGGAAGGTTGAGGGTGCTCTGAGGGTCTGCTTTCTTGAGAGACCCCACGGTGAGAACTTGGGTAGTCGTGGTTGGGCACCTGCCAGGGTGGTGATGCTGCCAACTTGTCTCTCAAGCGAGTGAGTGGGAGGAAGAGGAGGAGGAGGAAGAGCAGTCGGGGAGCATGATAGTGAGAAAGTCAACCCACGGCAGGGCGGGGGGGTCTGTGGAAGGCGTCTTCCAAGGGCCCTCCAAAGTCCTTGGAGCCAGCCATGGTCAGAACGTTTGCTAAGCCAGCTGCCCTCCCACATTAAAGAATGGCTAAGTAAAAACACTTCTGCAGTCCAGTCAGGCAAGTATTTTGTGACTAGGCTTAAAAGCCAGACCTGCAAGAAAATGTTGCAGTGTTTTTTCTCGTTTTGAAAACCTGTTCATGTTTCCAGCTAGCCAGGCAGCCATGCCCCAGACGTTCCATGCCATCCCTATGTCACAACACCTCGTTTTCTTTTCCAACTGATGTCCAACACTGTTTTGTGCTCAGTCCTCACCTGACTATTTGTATTTTTAATATTTCTACAAGCCTGGCAGTTCTCCAAGCAGACTAATTCCTCTTTGTTTTTGTTTTTTGCTTCAGTCTGCATCCATACATACCATCTGAGTTTGTGATTAGTGGGAATAATTTTACACAGAAAAGAGGTGACAGGATTTGCATTGGATTTGGGAGGTGAGATTGTACATTTGAAGATGATACGGAGCTCTAAGGTGGTACTGGGTGCTGGATTCCACAACACGAGAATCTGGTTTTGTTTTTTAAAATTGATGCAAGTTACTAGCCCTTAAGAATGCGAGGCTAGGCTTAAAAGCTACCTGAGCAGGTAGAACTGGCCACTGTGTGGCTCTTTGCCCCTCCCTTTAGTTAACAGAAGCTGTGGCATCCAAAATAATCACTGACACACACACACGCATGTGCATAGGTGTTCGTGTGTGTGCTTCCTGTATGTACATTGCAAGATGTAGCAGCTTTCATCATGTAGAACGTTTTGAACATTCACATCGGTGCTGTGTACATGCAAAGTGTGTGTGGGGGTGGGGGGGAACGACAGCTTGTGACCTTTTTACCTGTCATCTCAACTGTGCCACCTCACAAGCTTTCTCTGGAGAAATTCTCCAGGGTCCTAGTTGTGTCTGTCTGACTCCAGGCAATGGTGTTTTTAAAACTAATTACCCAGGCCTTCCAGCCTGTTGAAAAGCTGACTTTTAATTGCACTGTTTTTATGAATTTGCCTGTTTTATTGAATGGATACTGGCAAGACCAGAGTGCGGGGGAGGGGGGGTCCTTCAGGTCTTATGATGGCATTTTGTAGTATTTTATTCTTTGAACTTTATTAATGCCATGGGAGTTGGTGCTAAAAGCAACTCACAGATGCTTTAATATAAACAGATGCTTTTAAGAGGCCAGTGTTGAACAATGCAAGGTCAAGGGTAATTGGGACAAGAAAGAACATATGATCTCTGTTGTCTAAATTACTTTATTTGAGGCAGATTGTCTGCTTAGCATTCCTCCCAATCCCATAAACTGGAAATTAGAAGCTAGCTATCAGTTACTAGAAATGAGATGGAAAACCCTTCTGGATAAATCCCATCCATACTTTTAAAATAATAATTACAATAACATCTTATTTCTCTGTGTTTTTATTTTTTAAAATCCAGTGTAATGAGTAAGTTCCCCTCTGGAAAAAGGGAACATTCACTCTCACCCAATGAGACTTTTTGCCAACAAGCTGCTGTTAACCGAAGAAAGAAAAAAGAAAAAAAGAAATAAAATATTTTTTTAAAAAGCTGAAAACAAAAAGCTACCACGTCGCCAAACAATATTTGGGTCAAGTCTTCCACCAAGTTGAGTGTCTGGCTTCATGAACTGAAAATATCGAGATGGGCTTTCGGGTTTGTTTTATAGGTGCTTTTACATCTTCGCAGAGGTGGCCCTGCAAGGTTAACTCCATGGGATTAAGGCCCCCCAGATCATGGGGTTGCTGGTTTAGTGCTTTGAAAATGCATTGGAGGTTCAGCTGTCTGAAAAGGAGCCGGAGCCGATGGCAAGACGAGACGGTCAGGCCCTGCTTTCTGCTAGCTTCCGAGTATCTCATTCCTCCCGCTCCCTATCTTTAGATCCCCCAGTAAGGCACGTAGGTTCGTCTTTCCCGCATGTAAACATCTGGCATGATGCCATAGGGAGTCTGTACCATTTTGACGGTGTTTCTGCCGTAGAGCTCCCGCTCGTAGTCAATAAGCTGTCGCCAGAAGCCCACGTTGGGATTTATGACTGGGCGCCTCGACTTCACCCAGTTGTAAGCCTCGTACAGGGTGACGTTCTGGTATTTCATCAAGTACGCGATGCAGAGGGTGGCCGATCGGCTCACGCCGGCCGCGCAGTGGACCAGGGTGACTCCGTGCTTCCGGGCCACGCTTTGGATCTTGTCGGCCACGCTGTCAAAGTAGAGGGAGATGGGGGCGTTGGGCCTATCGTCCACAGGCACTTTGACATACTCGAACTCGGGGAAGTTGTAGTTGGGGAGCTCGATGGTGGCATTGACGATGCAGGTGATGCCGCGGGCTAAAAGCAGCTGCCGGTTGGAGGCCACGCTGCCCTTGCTGAGGTATAGGAAGGGCGTGATTTGGGCGATGCCGCACAGGGCCCCTTCGGAGTACAAGCGAGGAGTCATTAGAGTTCGTGGCAAGGAGTAGTGTCTTCTGGAGGTCATGGGGGTAGCCGGCGGGCGCTTAGACTTCCATCCTAGGTGTGCTGCACCAAGAGAAAAGCTTCCCCTCCGATGTTCGGTGGAGCCCCGGTCCGCTGTGCTGCTTCACCTGCAAAACGAAAAGGAAGAGCCGGTTTACAACATGTCTTGACGTGAAAAAAGCGAGTCACGCTTCACGAAGGATCCGTGACTTTGTCTGCCGATATTCATTCATGGACACGGCACAGCAAAGGACGCTCGGCAGCGCAAATTGCCAGTCAAGGCGCGAACCCTCCCACGCCCCCCAGCAGAACAGCTCTTGCCCGAGTGTTTCAGCCAGCTGTTTGATAACCAATCTGCGCTCTCCTTCCCCATCTTGTTTTCTTCAATGCTCTGCATTCTGTGTCGGGAGCCTTCATTGAGCGAGGAATGGGGATGTGGGGGACGCTCTATTTACATTGCAGCCTAACCTTTTTGGCACCCCCAGCCCATTCCGTGAATCTCCCCCTGGTTTCTCAGCGGCTCCATTTAGGATCCAACCCTCCCTCCCTCCCTCTCTCTGGAGACAGTAGGTGAGGACTGGGGAGATTGGCATGTGAGACACCATGACACTTCAAACAAAATGCAATTTAACAAATTAAGCAATCTGGAAAAAAACACTCAGCAAATGAGTTTGCACAATAGCTTTGTTCCCTCTGAGCCTGTTGGTTCCAGAAAGCAGGGCTGTGAAATGAAGCGGTTCTTGCTTGTTTGGCAGGGTCAGCTGATTGCCAAGGACATTGGGATCACTGTGTGCATGTGAGCCAGCCTTGACCGAGATCTTCCATATGTGTATTTGACTTTTCTCTCCCTCATCAGTGCCAACTGAACAGGATCTGGGGGCAAGAGGCTAGGACAGTACTTGGCTGAATGAGCAGTGGGGTGGTCCAAACACAGGCAAGTAATATTAAATTAATATATGTTACCACCTGAAAGTGAGAAGATGAGTCTAACGGTCATGGCCCGTTGTGTGACTTGTTTCAGACAACTCACATTCATGGGTTGAGTGTGGTTTGAGAGTTGGATGTCAGTGAACCACGGCTTATTGTGTGATCTGAACCCAGGGAGCAACCCTTGAAGAGCACCCCTTGGCTGTTGTTGGCTTATGAATGGTGGAGTTTTTTGGGACTAGCCTGACCATTAAACAGAATGAGGAAGTTGCGTTAGGTGGCAGATGCTGGGAGGCAGTTGCAGTGCGTTGCAAGAAACGTCTTTGTAGGCCCAGCAACCTGTTCCAGAACCCCGAGCCTAGTCTGCTGCCTTTGGGTATAGCAAAGGATGCTGTCCAGACATGAGCGTTGAGGGAAGATTGAGTTGCCAGCCCAGGACAGAGAGTGGAAGAGGGTGGCCTCTGGAGCTGGCCTGGTTAGAATTCACTCTCTTGCCCCAAACCAATTGAACCAATACAACTGGCAGCAGGAGGCCAGTGTGGAAGAGGAAATATCCTTTGATGTTTTAACATGGGTAAAAAATTACCCTACCTGGGTCAGAGAAATAGGTTAATTTTCTCCCTGACATATCCCTGCCAATTTTTTTTTTTTTTACATTCCATCATGCAGCTCTTTCTGCCACCTTCCTCTTCCTCAATTTCAATACCGCCCCATAGCCACCGTGGCTGTAACCATAGCTGTCAGGTTGTAGTACAAGGAAGGGCCAGATCTTCAAATCTGACACTTTTTTTTAATTGTTTGGCTTTGCTGTTTTTGCTGGTAATATTTCAATACGTGGCTTTTACTGCGTGTTTTATATTTTGTAAGCTACTCCGAGCTGCAGACTTCCTCAGTTGCAAGCTCAGTCCAGGTTGCTTGGCTGTGGATCAGATTGGCCTGGACACATCTCTTTCTGCGGTGGAGGCGAGTGGAGGCCAAGCCAGAGAGCTCCGTGCTAAGCGGTTTATTTTTAATGTCAGATCTGAGGCTTGTATTGTTTATTCGCAGCTCGGCTTTTCCAGCAAGAGGCCAGCCCTGTTAAGAGCTCCTTAGGCACTTCCCTGCCGTTTTTGAAGTTCCTTCATTTTGAGTTACTTGGGCTCAGAGTAGAGTCTGAAAGCACACTCCTAATAAATACATGTTAGTTTAGAAGCAGCAGAGAGAGAGATTAGAATCCGATTTCTACCCAAAGAAGCCCCCGATACTGGCAATGAGTAAGAGATAAGCAGGGCTGCAAGAGAATCTGGTGGTGCAGGATTCTAACCAGTTAGCCAGTTCCTGTGATGCTAATCTTTTCCGTCCCCATAACCAGCAGTTGTTGTGCCGCCTTTGGGTCTGGTTGAAGATGTTCATGTTGCTTTAATGAATGCTTCTTGTACTCCTCTGAACCTGCAACTTGTTGCTATCTCCCTGTCATACATGGAGGGTGCTATTTTTGTCATGGGAGGGTTCAGATGCAGGGAATGGAGCATTTTAGGATACTGGCAGCAGGAAATCTCTCCAGCCAGCTAGCCTGCCTGCCTGCCTGCCAAGGCTCTGAATGAAAGTAAGCCCCTCCCTGAACCCAGCTCCTCCTGGAATTGCAAGGGAAAGTGGCTCAGCCAGGACGTGTCCCTGGGGGAGACCTGGAGGCCCTGAAGCGATGGTTCCCAGCTCCTTCAGGCAGTGAGTCCCAAAAGATGAGACTTCCCTTACATGCATCTAGTGGCTGGTGGAGCAGAAGGGCGAGGTTAACGTACTGTTAAAAGACACGTTAGCTGAAAGCTCTTCTGCCGGTACATCCAGTTTAAGGGAGGCATTTCAACTTTTCGGATGGGTAGACTGCAAACAGCTCAAACGAAGGTGCTGTGTCCAGCATGGGCATCCTGCAGGGCCACAGTGAATCCCAAGGCAGGCAGAAAATATTTGGTCCACGACCCTGAGATTCAGCGCATGAATGGCCAAAGACCAAAGTGAATTCTTGGACTGGAGGGGGGACTAGCCAGTTCTTGCTCTCGGCTGTTCAACTGCACATTAAAACACCCGTTTTCAGACCTGGTACAACTGCAGTGGTACACCGAAACCCATGTTTAGGTGTTCTGCGGAATTCCGGTCCTAGAAGGAACAATTGATCTTGAACCATCTACTGAATTAGCAGCATAGTTCAAAGGATTGCTTTAAGAGGTTTGTAGCTTCCACTTGAAAAATCCAATCAAACAGTAAATCCAATGCTCCATGTATAGAACCAAAAATTATAAAAGGATCAATAAGCAAATGTAAAATTCAGTATATTGGTAGCATCTGTACTAAAGCAGGAGTTTAAAACCATGAGGGCATTTAAAATCCTAATAATGAGGCTGAGGCAGCCAGTTTTCAAAGGAAAGAAAAATAAGATAAAATACTTAGCTGATTTGTATACCTGAAAAAAAAAAATACTCCTGCTAATTCTGCAGTCTGCTTTCTGAGCTTCCTTAATGATTGCAAGCGTGGAATATTGGAGCAGTAGTAACAGCGTTTCTTTGTGGAAGGCTTTAGTTTTAAAACAAGCTTAGTCCTTGGAAATACTTTTTTTTTTTTTTTGGGCAATTCTAAAACTTTTAGTTTCTAGTCCATACTTCCTGGCATATATTTCCTGGTCCTCTTTCTCATAATTGCAACTTTACCTCTTCTGTACAGGCTCCATTTATGCAGGAAATTTTGCTTCATCAAAATGCAAAATAAGCACGCATGTTTCATAGGTTTTGATGAAACGGCTACCTTTTTGTTCTTTCTTGGAGGCCAGATTCTGCCGTGGTGTTTCCCATATACTGCGTCCTGCTGGAGGGCTAAATCATTTCACTGCTAGCATATGCTGAGCAAAACTTTTAAGACCCTCTCTCTGCCTACAAATCACTTTAGGTACCTTTGTGACATCAGCGTTTCACCTGGCCAATCACCGCCCCATCTTTCTATAGTGGTGCTTGTCCTTTGAAAGCTGTTGTGTGGTTGGAATGGAGAAAATAGGGCCTCCGAGCCCTCTGCACATGTGTGGAACGTCACTTTTTCTCTCGTGGCACCCATTTCATGGAAAGTTCTGTCCCAAGAGGCTTATGCCTTTTGAAAATTGCTTAAAATCACCCATTTAAAAAGGCATTCTGCTACCCTCTGTATTTTATGAATTTGTCGTCATATGTTACCGTAGTGTATGGTTTAACAAGTGTAAATCAATTCAGCTTTTCTTTCTATGAATGGCAGTATAAACACCTTTGGGGGGAAAAAGACATACGCTTTTCCTTGGTGGATTAATATGTACCAGATCTTTTGCTGATGCTGGGCCATGTGTGTTGTTCCTTGGCAGCCTGTTGAAAACCTAGCAATCCCATTTACTGCAAGTCAGGTAATCGTAGTCAGGAAATATTACAGTGCTTTTAAAACTGAACTAATAGGCCTTGTGCCATGAACATCCGGCACAGTCCAGGTTGTTGTTAGGAATAAAAGAAAAAATCATTTGGTTCACATGTTCATGTGAACTTACTGAATTTTGCATTTTGGATCCAATATATGAATCAAAGCCAAGCAAGTGTTCAGAATTCCCACTTCTCTGAATCCTGTAAAATTGTAGTAAAAAAAAAGAGTACAGATTGTGCATATTAGGGAAAAGTACACTAAAATTATTTCTTAAGGAAATAATTTTCAGAAATAGGTGACACTGGAAAATTGTTGGCACAGATGCTTCTGTTTGGAGAAATTCACACAAAAATACTTACGGGTCTTATAGAAACCTTACTTTTAAATAAAAAACACCATCATTCAGAACAAACTAAATTTAAGATGGAAAGAATTCTGCAAGTGTGGCTTGAACCGACCCAAAGATTGAACTGGGACAGCTGAAACTGATGAATTTGTCTCCTCCTAGACGTAATCCTTCAGGCAAGCAGAGGACCGCAAATAATAAAATATCTTCACAGTCAGCTATGGTTTGCCACCTTACAGAATGTTTGGAAGAACTAATTACAAGAAAAAAAGAGCTGTGCTCTGCAACGCCTAAGAACATAAGATGGGCTGTGCTGGATCAGGCCAAGGGTCCAGTTCACTCGGTGTTATGTTCACACAGAGACCAAGCAGCTATACTAGCAGGAAACCTGCAAGCGGTGCAACAGCATCTTCGTGCCCATGTTCCCCAGCAACTGATGTACATATGCAT